CGGCAACGGCCGCGTTACACAACGAGGACCGCAAAAAAAAGCGGATGCCTAGGAAGTTGCCCACGCCGTAGCCTCGGCAGCTCGTGTGGGGACATAGAGGAACCAACCCGGAATCCACCAACGGTGGACTGCAGCCACTGCGTACTTCGTTCAGTATTTTGCGTCTGCAGAAGGCCTCGGGTCGGGTGTTCACGTTCATCTTGTAACGTACGAAGCGACAATTCCCTCTGTCCTAACTTTGCCTGTCCAGACTCGTTCACTTCGCATAATCTTAGTGGACAGCATATCTGGTGCAACGCACCAGCCGATCGCGCGATTCCTTGGCTGAATAACTTCAGCACTTTTAAACAGCGCGCTCCGGACACAACTAGTGCGGTTATTTTGGTGCCCAAGTGTGCCCACCTAGAAAAGGAATTTCAAACACGCGGTTGGACCTTACTCAAAGAGTTTACAAAAAACTCCAATATCTTCTCCGAACCTAAACCCGGAGGTGGTCGCACCAGGTCCCCAAACTGCAGCGGCGAGTTTCAAGCATGGCTCGACCCCTGCCAGGAAAAGTCCAAGTGTTCTGCACTAGAACCTCTGACTGAAAACACCGCGCCACTACTACCGTGCAACTTTACTAGCACAAAAGCTGTCGCCTTAGTCGACTCAGGTGCTTCGCACGTTTTCATATCCGCCACACTTGTGCAAAAACGGGGTTTACAGCCCCTCACTAGCCACGTAGCTACTTGCATGCTAGGAGACGGCGCAAATAGCGCCCGCCTCCAAGGTCAGGTGCATACGTCGCTCCGTATCCACGGATTCCGCTGCAAAATCGTAGCGCAAGTTATCCCCAATTATCCACCTCACTCAAGGCGCCCCGAGGACGGGTTCGCATTCAAGAGGGGGGGAATGTAACGCCGCTAAGGCGGCCCTTGGCTCACCGGGCCAACGGTATCGTACCAACGGTACATCCAAGAACTATTCATAATCTTCCAATACCAAACGGTATTTATCAATACCACCTTTTTATCGTTGGATAATTTCCTTTTTCGCAACTGCTTGCCAACTGCAAGCTTTGTTACAGCCCATGTCGTGAACTGCGAGCGCGCTAAGTTGCTGACGGAGATTAGCTACCGATAGGATTAAATTGAATCTTTGCAACGTTGTGGATGTATTTTTACATTTACAGGAATGCCAATGGGCAACTGTTTCGACGCAAAGCTCAAGAACGCGAACGCCCACTTGCATAAGGCGTGCGAACGTGATGAAGAAATGACAAGATAATACAAGTAGATGGTTTTGTCCTACACGTTGGCTCTTATGGACAGATTCACCGATCCCGCCAAGGCCGGGCGATTCTAATTTTGCTATGCTTACAGCTATATTCAAAAGTTTGGCAGGCATAATTGCATCAGTGAGCCAATTTATTCATTGCCATCAAGAATTGTTTCCCATGCGGGATATCACGTACTCAAGATCGCGGGTCATGCCGCGCTCTGACATACAGCCAAATATTACTTGACACGACTAGCCTGATCTGGTTGTTGCTTCTTAGATATAGCACCGTGCATGATAAACAGTGTTCCCTCTGATAGTCGTCCAACTTGCGCCAACCGACATGGCTCTGATGGTGTTGATTTTACTATTAGTTTCCGATGCCAGCAAGCTAGTATGGTGTAGGAGGACAGCTGAGCGGCTGCCTCGTGGGCGCCATGGCGCCGTCCTGGACGACGCGGTCATTTTTCCCACCGACCAGCTTAGCGCAGTAGACCGTGATGACGACAGCGGCTCGTGTGTGGCATTTTTCCAGGTTTGGCTGACCGAGCACAGTTGAGGTTTTTTCTGTGCGAGAAACAGCAGTCGAATCTCTTGTGCTGCCTTGGAGCGCAGTGGAAAGTGGAGTCCTACGATTTCCTTAGTGGTGATTACATGGAGTCGCGTGCCTTCAGTCCGACAGCTATGATTCTGTAAGTTGTAGGCTTTCGGCTCCCGGCCTGGTGAAGCCATGCCGCTATCTTCGACGGGAGCGGCCACAAGTTACGTTTGTCGTAATGCATATCTAGCATCTCAAGAACATCAATATCCTCCGAAACAATGTGCAATCTTTGGTCTTGGCTTCCGCGTAACGCAGGGGCCTCGCGTTCTATCCGCGAGGAGCTGAGGCTAGCGGAAAGGGAGGGAGCAGCACCGGCCTCACCGGGCCCTGGGCTCCGCGCTTGGGTCACTGGGATTGCGTCTTTGTTACCTGGCGCTTTACAGGTGGGTTCAGGGTGTGGCGCAGAAGGCGCACGTCCCTGGGTTTGCGTCGCCCCTAGGCGCGGACCTGCAACCCCGCGGTTTCCTCCCAAAGAGCTTGTGCGTGATGACGACTTCTTCATTCGAGCCTATCATTGGAGCTGGTCAACAACAAACAGCTTTACCTCTGGCAGTTTGTACACAGTGAGGCTGGAAAAGTGCCCGGTGCAAGCTCCTTCCGTCCCCGTTCATGATTGAACGCTGGGCTTCACACCACCACCACCACCGCTCGCAGTCAGAAAGCCAGTGCCGCGGCCCATCCGCACTGTCTATCACGTCCTCCAGCCACGCAACCCAGTCTCCCATACGTGCAAATCGTGCTGCTCCTGCACCGTATCCGTCCCTGCATCTTCAACGGAGCGCCTTCGAAACACTCCTCTTCTCCAACCCCTTCGGGTTTTCTTCGTGACGGCCGTCACCCACTACCTCCGGGCCCAACAGCGCCGTCCACAGTCTCCTTGCAGCTTGGAGCATGGACGGGAGCTGGAATGCATTGATCTGCTGGAAATGCAGGCGACTTTACGATTAATGCTTGACACGTGTCCATTTCATGGACATGCATGACACAAGGGCTGTGCCACGTTTGTCTCCTTCATTTTTCTTCCGCGTGACGATTTGACTACCGCGATTTGACGACACCTACTTTTGCACTTCTTCCCGCCGATGCGCGCGCGTTTGCGCGAGCGGTTTACGTGCAGTTGCGGCCTTTACTTTTCCCGTTGAAAACCTGAAAACCCTAATTGCATCACGGTTGACAGCCTCCATTACAGTGCTTAGGGGAGATGCTGCAGAATGCGTAGAACTGTGGGCATACGGCCTCTGAGGTTCCTAGTATTGTTAATGTATGCTGTTCCACTGTTTATTGTTTCGTTAATCCTGTCCGCAGTCTTTAACATGCGAGGCCTACAACCGAACAAAATATATGAAGGTATGTCAGCCAGCCGCCTGGGCCTGCTTCTCGGCACTCGGGTCGGGTTGGGTGCGAGGAGGACATATAGACACACGGGAGTGTGCAGCGGTCAGCTGGCTTGGGCTGCGCCTTGGGCTGTGGCTTGAACTTGGAGTCGCTTTCTACTTTGCATTACGTTTCGGCACGTTGAAGCTGCTTGGCATGTGGCCTCTCCCTTCTGCTGATACGATACGCAGGCCTTCAGCGAACATTTTGTTACGAAGACTCCGACCCGAGTTGGGGCTATGTAGAGCTTACGGCGCCACACAGGCTGGCAGATCCAGCCCAGGGCTGGCTGGACGAGCAAGGGGCGCTGCATTTGCGAATCGATTTCTACAGGGTACGTCGCGCTGTACGGATCACAGGTGACGGTTTTTCCGGCCTATGTCGGTGCTTCGGTGAGGATGATTCTTCGCTGTGGTGTCGGCGTCTCGCTCTGGTCACTTCGCGATTCCGCGGTATTTCGTGGCCATCATTCATGGGTTCGAGATGTGTGCATCCTGCTCTCGTTCTCGCTATTTTTAACAGACATAAAACCCATGTGGGGTGAAAGCACTTTCTTCGTTGAATCCGATGTGGGCCTTGTACTTAATGGGCTTTGAAAAGGACTCCAAACGCTTTTGGCGTACGTGTTACTTCACCTACACTGCGGTGTAGGTGGAGCCTCGCTGGCTACACAGGCGTCAAAGTGCCCAGCGGCAGCCATCAGTTCCGCCCGGAGTGTGTCCTAACGCGGCCCTGTGGCGGGACATGCGAGTACTTCTGGGCTTGGAGGACATCTGGGTCGAGTATAACCCAAACACCGATAGGCGAGTCCCGTCCATCCTGATACAATCCTTGCGCACAACCCCCTCCTACAGGCCGATGACATCCTTCCTCTGACTAACCACCTCGGCAACATCATCATCAGCAACAGCCCGGTCGTCCGGTAGCTTTGCGGTGACCCTCCGCACCTTCGATGCATCCATGCACTTGTATTCACCCATCCATGCATCTGCGTTTATTCATACTATTTTTTATTTTCACACATCCAATGTTCCTATCCCACGTCATTCCGTCACGGCGCAGCGTCGGTTACCTTTTGAAAGGGGCCCAGTATGACTCAAGGGAGGAGATGCGGACCGTAGTGCTGGCTGCCCAGTCCATGATGCCGCCAAGTTGCCGCCTCCATAGTGCCCATAGCGGTCCTGAAGCAGCCGGAACGGCACTCGTCTCTTGGCTACAGCAGCCAAAGCTGCTACTGCGCCGGCTGGTGGATTACTCTTCAGTGGCGTGTCTGGCGGCTTGGTTATGGCGGCACCGGCCCTCTGCGGCGCTGGCGGTTGGCGTCGCCATTGCCGGTTGGGTTGCAAGGGTTCTGTGGGTGCGGTGGCGCCAGGCGGCTCGAGCGAAGGCGAGGTGGCGGCGCCGCGTCCTGGCTGGGGTAGGTTGGCGTATGGTTTACGGTGTATTGGGCTTGGAACTGGACCGTCCTCGGATGTACAGATTGGGGCTGGAGACGGTGTTGAGATGGGGAAACGCGCGCTTTGGGGGGTTGTGGGGTGGCTGACTTCATCCTTTTCCGCTCGCGTATTAACACATCACCGCACCCACACGCCCACTAGCGTAACACGTCGCTGACCTCCGAGTCTCCCCGCGCTGTTGTCTCGCTACCGCTCCTCTTGCTGGCGGTTTCCTGGCTTCTGTCTTGATGTCGCTCTGCTACCTCCTGCATAGCCCGAACCAAGCGTACACGAATACTCATCTGTTCCTCGGCCTTCCGCACCAACCTGGTCCCTCGCAGTGTGATCCATCCCAGCCTACTTCAGCGGCATCTGCCAACGCCAAGAAGCTGGAGGCAACTGTCCAACCTGCCGGCGGCAATGGCAGCGGCAGCGGAGCTGGGCCGGCCTCGGCCACTGCGGCGGTGGCACAGGGCACGACATGCGTCATTAATGCCAGGATGCATTGGGCAGCACGTTCTCAACCCCACCCTCGCCACGGTGGATGGCGCCAAGGGCAGCAATGCCACGTCCTTCGCCGCGCCATGGCAACACCCTCGCAACAATCAGCTATTTCTACTGATGCCGATTCTGACTCTGGCGCAGCGTCAGGTGCCCGCAGCCCGGCAGCTGATGTTGCTTCTGCATCCCCTTGCACCTTACGACCGAGATTGCTGCTGCAGTGGCCGTGGCAAGCAGCGGAAAGCGTTGGCGCCGCCCTGCTGTCGAGGCAGTGGCAGCAGCAGCAGCAGCAACAACAAGAGCAACAACAACAGCAGCAAGAACAGCAAGAGCAACAGCAACAACAACAACAACAGCAGCAATCGAAGTCGCGGCGTCTACGAAAACGAGGACGCCAGCTGCAGGCTCCGGAACCGCTGCAGCAACAGCAACCGAAGGCGCCACCGTCGCCGCCACCGTCCCAGCAGCAGCAACCGCAGCAGGCTAAGCTGTACAAGAAGCAGCACTCACTAGATAACCAGTACGATTCCCAGCGGGAACAAATCCCGTCCCAACTATCGCGGCAGCTGCAGAACAGTTATCCGGGCCGCCAGTCGCCACCTCCACAAGAAGAGGAGCGTCGCCAGCAGCAACATAACAAACGGCAGCGGAGCCAACTGTACGATCGTCAAGGTGGAGAAGAACGAGAATGGGCGCAAGAAAGCCGCCCTTCTGATGGCAAAGAGCTGCATCCTCAGCGGCAGTCGCAACTGCAGGAAGTGACGCAGCAACAACAACAGCAACAGCGGGAAGAGGTACAGAAGCAGGCGTCGCAGCCCCAAACGCAGGTGCTTAGGCAGGCGCGGTGGCAGGAGAAGCAAAACAAGTCGAAGGGCCGAAGTGCAGAATCGAGGGACGCCGCTGCCACCGACTGTGATGGTCATTTTGCGCCGTGCAGCAGCAGCTGCAGCAGCAGGAGCTTAGACAGCAGCTTCAGTTGTGCCGTTGACGCCGCAGTTGCCAGCAGCGGCAATGGCACCTTTAGCGGTGCGGGCTTGACCTTGGCCGAGGCCAGGAGCGGGCTCGAGAGCCGCACCAGCTGCATTAGTGATGGCGGCGTCGGTACGAGCGTCCGTGCCAATTGCGACGCAGACCAACCCCAAACAGCTCCCTCCACACCGGAGCTGAAGCAAAGCAGCTTGGGTGGCTTCAGCCGACCTTCCATTACCTCATCAGGTACCCGTTCAAACACGGGCGCCACCGCCGCTGCTGCCAGTGCTGTACTGGCTACTAACGGGCCCTGTCATGCGTCAGCCGTGGCAACCTCAACGAACGGCTTCCGCAGGGAGCTTGGACCTTGGGACCCGCCCTGCGCAGCGCCGCTGCCTGGCGGATCCGCGCCTGGCTCTGCCGCCGCCATCTCGTTCACCGCAGCCGCAGCCGCTCCCCATTCACCCCATCTCAGCGCTGCCTTCAATCCACATGAATGGCACGATCCACAGACATCTCCATCATCGTCCAATGCCCGCTGGGTCAACAGCCTCTGCGCCTGCACGGGTGTTGCTGCGGATCTACCGACTTTAACATCAACGGTGGCAGCGGAGCCATTGCCGCGATTGCTGCCGTATAAGCTGCCATCAGCGACGTCAGGGTTGGTCTACAACAGCAACCCATCCCGGCCCTTACCCTGGACCGGACCACCCGCCTTTGGCAGCCGTGCTTTCCTGCCCAACCTCGTCAGCGGTACCGGTGGTGTTGGCACGCGTGCGATCTCTATCGGTGGTGGTGTCTGGCCGACAGTTTGGTCTTATCCTGCGACCCATGGGACGCCGCCCAGTTCGGCGTTCAGGATGCCACCAGGCTGGCGCCCAGGTCAGCTCCTGGATTGACGTAGGAGGAGGGCCAGATGTCTGTCGGTCTGGTATCTTATCGGGCTCTGTGGGTGGGGAACTAGGAAAGTAGGTTGAGTGTGTAATGGCAAATAAGGGGTGCTGCTGATCGGCTGCTCACACCCCGCCGGCCTCTGTCGACTGTTGAAACGAGAAGAATTTGGTAATTTTTTACAATGCGTAAGGATATCTCCACACGTTGCGGCTGTTTAAATGGGAACACGGAGCGTGATGGGAGCGTGAAAGCTGCATATACATATGTCACTGGCGATGTTTACTTTTCCAGTACGTGCTGACGCCAGCACGTACTTCCCGTAGGAGAAAAACAGACAGACAGACAGGCATACACTGAGCACGTGTCAAGTATGGGCGTCTCGTTATATACGTGCCTCTATGAACCTATGCATGTTTTGTTGCTGCTGACATGTCTCCACCTTTGGTTAGTGCTTGCACGTGGACCTGTGCGTAGGTTTCGAGCGTTTGCGCTTCCATCTATCATACGTTTGACCGTCCGTGTGTAAGGGAAGGGCGCGCGAGGGCTCCTCACACGTTCCGGGCGAGAGTGGGTTGTGGGCGGCGCTGCGGATGCGGCCAGGTTACCACCATCACCACTACCACGTGAAGGGCCTTGGAATGGGCTCTTATTGGACGGAGTGGCTGTTGTGAATATATAGCGACGGATGAGGTTGTGCGATTACGGCTGAGAGGGTAAGGGTATCGTCTCGGTATGGCGGGGTGGTGACTGTGATGGCGTGTTCAGAGCAGCTTACGGCGTACGTGAAGCCAACAGGACGGGGTGTACGGTACGGCAGCCACTGGCCTCAGCGCAGCGTTCTGTCACAGAACTGTCCAGCGCGGGTGAGCTCAAGTGATGTGCGGTGAGTCAGTTCACACTTGTCACTAATCGGCTGGGTTCGCGAGTGAATGGGGTAGGGGTGCGGCTGGGGGCCCAAGGGAGTAGCGCTCTCTGCCATGGATCGCTGTCCGAGGAGACTTCTTCCCGTGCGAGTGGATAAAAGAAGACGTCACCTTATAGCGTTCGCCATTCTTAGCAATTATAGATAAGTGTCATGCAGACATGTCCTAAACGCAACGTAACTTGCATGGGTTGGGAGTCAGTTTGCTCCATAGCGGTAGGCAGAGGTCGTTTGCGACTTGGTCCAGGAACCTGTCATTACTTGTCACCGGATGCAGATGGCTTGATGTGCGATCAGGCCTTCCATCTAGGGTGGCGGCCTGGCAGGATGGTCTCTGTAGGAGAATGAGGCGGCAGGAATGATAAGATGGGATAGGTTGGAAAGGGGCGCACAGCACCGTAGGGAAGGGCACCTCCACACTTCCTCTTCTAAGCTCTTGCGTTTCTTTGTATGGATGGTTGAGACCGTGTATGGCATACGAATAAACGGCTGTCTGGATATTGCTCTTTGGACGCAATGTGTGCTGCCGTGCGTGTGTGTTCAGTATGTACATATCCGTGCCAGCCAGGGCCGGTCGGGGTTGTCATGACGACGGTGGCTAATCCAGTCGGGTCGGGTCTAGTCATCCGTTCCGCGCTCTTGGGAGGGTTGTCGTACCATGGTTGGTCTGCAATATTGTCCGTCTTAGCGCCGTCTGTAGTACAATCTGTTCTGATAGAGCAGTCCGTAGCACACTCCTAAGTACGTAGTCAAACCTTGTAGCCTCCAGTACTCCCGTAGTACCATAGTCAATAATGGCGGCTGTAGTGACATCTGTAACGTAGCGCCCGTAGACTAAATGTTTCGTGGTTGCGAGCTTGTGGCGAGCGGGGTGGGGTAGAAAAGGGTCTTTGGACATCCCAAGGGGCCGTGTGGTTGCGCTGTAGACCTCGCGTCTGTGCACATGTGGTAACGTGTTCCTTTTCCTTGGGGTTCACGGGAGAAGAGCGGTTGCAGAGGGATCAAGAGATGGCTTTCGTATCTTTGGGAGATTGAACGGTGATGAAGCGCGGCCCCGATATCTCGCTCGGCCCGTAATGCGGATAATATACAGATGAAAGGAATGCCACCTGTTTGTATATTTTGCTTTGCAGTGGAAATACGCAATGGCCAGGGAGGTGATTGATGCAGGCCGGGTTGGAACGCAGGCGTCATCATGCAGGATTGGCCCTCAGGAGGGTGCGGAGGTACCTGCAACAACGACCGGGAGTAGTACGTGTCTGGAAGCTGCCATGCGGCGCACCTGAACCAGCACAGAATATCCTGTTTTTTGGCATTGTTTTCGGCGCCAACAGTTATTAGTATATGGACTTTCGTTCCGCGACGCTCGTGCAACTGTTCTCTTATTCTGTGCTGGTTCCCGTGTTGTGTACCGAATTCACGTCTTAATTTCATACGTCCAAGTGCTCTAGTCGTGTCGAGTGGCTGTCGTAAAGTTTCTTTTTGTGAAAAAAGATAGGTAATGGCCTTTGTTGCGAAATATTGGATCGCAAGCTGTGGTGGCCTCAGGCCGTCTTAGGGCCCTGGAAAGGGTTTTGTATAGGCCGTGTTGGGTTTTACCTAACGGTCTTACCGCGTCACCTGGTAGAGTTTAAAACGTATCATTTCGGAGCTAAGTAGGGCGGAGTCTTGGATTCGGTATCGAGTATAGGGTGGGAGGACAACGGTGCAGTAACGGACTTCTGTGCAAAAGGGGTTCTGGTACGGTATGGACAGGAAGTAGGAGTCTCTTACATTAACGAGCCGTGGAGAAGGTGCCTTTGCGAAGTTTTGTATGGGGTGTAATGGGTGTCTTAGGCAGTTTGCCTGTTGGATTTGGGAGTGCAGGTTGTCGGCTGCCAATAGCGCCAACAAGGTAGCACCAATATATTCCGCGCTGCTTAAGGTGCTGTTGCAATCTATTGGGCCTTTCAGATAGAATAACTGCGGATGGTGGCACTCAGAAAGGAAAGGAAACGTGTATCTGCTTTACTGGTTAGGCTCATGTGTTTGTTGGCAAGTCGTTATAAGTGGAAATACAACTGGATCTGGGGAGTTCAGTTGCAGGCATGAGGTGACTGTGGGGTTGGCGGGTTCAATAGTTCAGCAGCAGCACGGTTAAGAGATACGTTAAAAAATACACTACGTGCAGAAGATAGGTTAATGGAGCAAGGACAGATGGGTTACATGAAGTTGGATGCCAGACCTTAGGCGTGGGGATGATTGATGCTAGTTAGGGTGTTGCACGATTTTACGACAAATAGGTGCGTAATATGATGAACGTGGATATGCCACTGCTTTGTAAGTTACTCGTGTAAAACGTCACCTATGAAAACGAATGGACAGTGGCACAGTTGACTTTCTCCTCTTGGACGGCGGCCCACTTCACATGGACACAGCGCCAGCATCGCATCGTCTACCAACTCTTCAACACATGTCGTTCAACCCGTAACCGTTGTTCTGCTGTTTCACTGCGCATTACGTCCCACTCGCGCAGTGCTTCAAGAGATCCATGTCTGTTAACCCGTCGTACATTTTGTACCCATCTCAATCTTCAACAGCGATACATCATCCAAACCAACACCCCAATATTGTTACACCACAAGCAAAACAATTGAGAAGGAAACGCATTTAGTTATCATATATCCGAATGAAGAGCGGCGACGCGCAGAACTTACTAGCGCGATTAATGCGAGAAACGAACGTCTTCCTTCCGAGAGGAAGGAGTAGTGAGCGCGCTGGGGGTGCCCATATACCAATCTTTGGTGTCAGGTATGCGAAGAAGTGGCTAGTTAGATACTAGGCAAACACATGGTAACAGGTCCCCACAGCGTCAGAATGATTCGGCATTCGTGCACAGGCTACAGAATTTCCCAAAAAATCAGCACGCAGGCGAAAGTAGAAACAGCAAAACGCAAGAAGTCAAGGTTTCTAAAGCGCTTCCATCAGGACGGGTTCCTGCACAATTTCGCTACGCATGCACGCAGCACACCGCCCGTCAAACCGCTGACATGGCCACAGCTCTCTTTCACAGCTAGCATGCCCACCAGGCATCACGTCGCACCCCGCCGTGTGCCATCCAATGGAATGCCTCGGCGTAGCCGAAGACCGCAACCAATCTCCCACAGGCCTCGGCAATCTTGAATCTTCACGACCAGCACATTTCTGGCATACTGCCTCTCCAAGGACCCCAGCAGCTGCGGGCCAGCCATTAATACCCCGTTGTCCGTTTTCCAGGCCAAGGCCGTGCATTGGCGCCATGGATTTAATCTGGCGCCATCCTATATACTTTCTTTTCCTTTCACCACACAACGGGTTTGAACCCAGCGAATATCCAGATTATCTTCTCATCATCTTTCCAACAACACATGCACTGCACTGTACCGCACCGCAACCCATCCCACCTCTCAGTCCGGCACGTAGCCGACCTCGTCCGCGGGCCTCTTCTTGCCATCGCTACCGTAGTAATCAAAATACCACTTGACGAACTCCTGAAGCCCCTCCCGCAGGTTTGTCTGTGGCGTGTAGCCAAGCGCCTCGTGTGCAGCAGTGATGTTGGCGTTGGTGCGCAGCACGTCGCCGGTAGCCCCCAGCGGTTGGTACTTTACCAACGCCTTCATTCCCATCAGATCCTGCAGCGTCTCCACCATCTCTGATACAGTGTGCACCTGCACACACACAGGCGACATGCTTGGCCGGTTCATCCCAACAATCGCAAACATGACGGGTATCGGACCGCGTAACGTCATCGATCAACCAACCTACAGAAAATCCTGGCCATCCTGCAGCAATATGATAGTCCCCCATATAAGCGCCCGTCTTCGAGCAGTATCGTTGGTAGCTGTGAACCACTCAAAGACAGCACAAGGCGCACGGTCCGACCTACAGAAAGGAAACGCTGTTCAGCCTACCTGTGTGTTGCCCAGGTTGAACAGCCGGTAGGATGGCGGGGACTGCGAATAGAAAGGAGGAAGACACAGAAGGGCCGTCGTGCACCGCCGCGTCGCAGCGAGAGCAACATCCCAATGGGGTTAGGAGACCACGTTTGCGTGGGCAACTTATGCTCGTTTGTTGCACATACACTTGCACTAGACACTCTCCAGCGGATTTTCCATCTCGCAGCGCCCTACTTCCCTAGCTGCATCTGATAACAGCTCTCCGCAAATGGAACACTCCCTACCGCACCGGGGTCCCCACTTGCGTATCTGGTGCTCCAGAGAGACTCCTTCCCTTATTACCCCTCAGGCCCACCTTGGGATCGGCGGAGGGCGGCGCTGTGTCCAACGCGGCCAGCACGCCGTTGACGATGTCCCCAACGTACGTGAAGTCCCGCGCTAATTCCGTGTTGTTGGGACCCTGACAGAGGGAACCGAAGAGTACCGGTGCGAGCAGATTGGAACGGTAATTATATATTGTTACTTTATCATATACAAAAAAATAAGCCGCGGTTGATAAAACTGCGGTTAGTTAAAACTGCAGGTGATAACTGTAACCAGCTCACGTATTGACAAGGCGTACCATACCTTGCCAGAAAGCAAAGGAGGCGTTTGCAAGCAGCCGTCGACTCCGTAGCGCATGCCGGCTATAGCCATGAACAATAGCAGTTCACGTCAAGAGAGCTGAACTGCCTCCCTGTAGCAGGACACACGCAACCCCCGAACCATCTACCCGTTGGGTCACTGCTGGCGGGGGGTTGCTCCATCCAGCAGTGAAAGTGTGCCCCTCAGACACCACACAGACCGAGTTGTAACCCAGCGAGGATCCCCCATCCGACAACCCCCACCCACCTGGAACACGCGAATAGGTTTCCCGTCGACAATATTGCGCGCAAAAGACATCACGCTCATGTCTGGGCGGCCCCAAGGTCCGTACACCGTGAAGAACCTCAAGCCTGCGAGGGGTCCCGTTGCCGCCGCACAAATGAAGCGGCGTCAAGGAGGCGGTCGGCTGGCAAGGAGGTTATGCAGCGCTGGTGCAGAACAGCCGCAGCAAATGCCCTAGAACTAGAAGTTTAGAATAAATAAACGGCTACATGGGCGCTCTGGCTGAGGCCGGTCGAGGACCTCTGTCAGCCAGCGGGTCCCGGGAAGGTCAATGCCACCACTGGCTGGTCACAGACGTCCTTGCGGTGCGAATTGCGGGGTCCAATCCGTGCAGCCCAGAAAGGCACTTATACATTGCTGTGAGGCCCACGACTTGCGCCAGGAGGCACCAGCTCCCAGGCCTTCCGTCCGTTGTCCAGCATAAACGATAAACCAGAGGCGAATAAGGATAACCCGTAAGAAACAGCAGAGGCAGCGCGCTGCCCAGACGACCCACGGGACGCACCTCACGCAGTTTCCCAGGCAATCAACCTCACGTTTTCCTAGCCCGATTGAAGTCCGTTTCATGTCTACGGCAATATGGATTCAGGTGGAAATCCATCCAAACAGGTGGAAACCCTTCCCCTGGCAAGGTCCTCCGGCTGACCTCCGGACCGATTCCATGATGACCGGCCTCAGTCGTCATAATGCAAATTCTTATTCATATGGTATGAAGTCGTTGCTGAGCAGCGTCAAAAGCCACAACCCAAATCGTACGCACGCCCCGGCGTGGCCCTTCAGCTGACCCAGATCGCGTGCTGCATCTGCATCGCTGACCCAAATCGCGGCTGCGCACCTGTCACCGACATCTTATAGATGTTGAAATACGTGTGCGACAGGAGCTCAAGGCTGCGCTTGGTAGCGGCATACAGGCTGGCCGGCTGGTCCACACGGTCGTCTTCCGTGAAAGGGAACCGTTTCGATAGCCCGTAGACGGAGCTGGAGGAGGCGTAGACGAGTACCGGCATGGGTTTCTGCAGGCGCATGGCCTCCATGAGGGCCACGCTAGCTGCGATGTTTGACTGCACATAAGCGAAAGGATTGCGCGCCGCGTAGCGCACGCCGGCTTGCGCTGCAAAGTGAAGCACATGCGTGAAGGAACATAGCCGGAAAAGCTCTTGCAGGGCCTCCTGGTCGTTAAGGTCCAGGTCCACGACCGGGACGCCCTTGCTGGCGAGCACTTGTGCCCGTGCACGCTTCAACGAAACCGGGTAGTAATCGTTGAAGTTGTCCAAGCCGACGACGACATCACCGCGAGAACGCAGTTGGACAGAGGCGTGGAAGCCAATAAAGCCAGCTGCGGGAGTTATAGGGAAGTAGAGTCCGTCGGCAGCCGACATGCGGCACTTGCGGTCCAGAGCGAGATACGTGCTCAAGCCCATATGGCGATTAATATGCCACATGTAGGGCGAAATATAAGAGGTCGCAAGTGGATGGTTTCTCACCTGCACCTGTAACTAGGTAGCGTTTCCCCAGCCCGCTCCCGCTACTCGCGCAAGTCTTGTATACAGACGCTGCCGACTTGCTGCTTAAGGGGTGTATCAACAGTACAACAGCGGTGCTCTGTGCCGATCGTAACCATAAGAAGGCAAACGCCACAGTCGCGCACATGGACACAGCCAGAATTAATCCCGCTGCGTGCCAATATGCGGCAGGCACCGACAGGAGCCGACGCCCTGGCGCTGAGGTAGATGGCTTGCTGCTCATAGCGGAAATTTGGACAGCTGCGGGGGGGCTTTCCTCTCCAGACACTGCGCACCGCCCCGTCTGCCGTCTGAGGAGCGGCCAAGAGCTCTTCGTCTCTAAAAAAGAACACTTGCACCCTTAACCTTTTTTACTTGGGATATTATCATTTTCTTGAAGCCAAGTCTGCTCTTATATTAAATTTGTAATTTGTCTTCCATAACTTTATAGTCAAAGCAAATTTCTGCATTTCATACTATTCATTATCCTATACGTAAGTCATCCTGCTATACATTACCAGGCGTTGCAACGTTTGATATACGATGTGCCGGACACATTCCGTAATGTCAATCCAGCGTGACATTCATGATGGGTGCGCGGGGGCAATGTGTGGAGTCAGCTGAGGAGTTGAACTCACCATTCACCCTAAATGAGGGAGCACCTCTCCGTAACAACAAATGTGGTGGGCTCGATCGTGTACCTGCGGATTGCTAGGAGAGAGGTGAACGGGCACTTTATTAATGTTCTTGCCGCCTTCGCTGATCGGCTTTTCAAACACATCCGTAGTGTGGAGGACTACCCTTGTCAGTTTGAAATGTCTTGTTTGATGCCGATTCCCAAAAAGGCGATTTCTACGGATTTCTACGGATTTCAACTATTGTGGTCTTGCGGTGGGTGGAACCCTGGGGAAGTGTAATGCTCGTGTTTTGGAGCGCCGGCCGGCGGTTGAGCAAGTGAGGTTGGGGTGCCAATGCACGATCCCCGTTGCAGGGTGGTTTCGGGGCCAAGGTAGGCATCATACACAACCTACCCTACCTTACTAACCGGCATAGGAATGGCCTTGGCATTACATCCCCGTTCTCTGTCTGTCAGGTTAGTTATGAGAAAGCTCTCGATCGTGTTCCGCGTCGCCTGCTTTTGCTGAGACTAAAGGAGTGCGGTATACATGGCGCCATGCTGAAGGCTCTGAGGCTTGTTACAGAAGAGCAGGTGTGTGCGTGAAAGCAAACGGGTAGGACGGGGGAACCTTGCGACTCTGTTCAAGAGGTCAAACAAGATTCCCCCCTCAGCCCCACATTGTTCGGTTTTTCATTGAGGGCTTCGTGGACTACATGGAGGCTAAAGATTGTACAGCGCCAACAGCTATTTGTGCCGATGGGTGCCCCATTGATGGTGGGTGCGTGTTCCCCTGAAGCTGTACGCAGATGACTGGATATTCTTGCTCACAATTACCGGCACCTAAAGTGCGTTCTTAAGGCCCTCACGGAGTGGTGCAGCGCAGCATTTGGCATGACCCCTCATATCCGTAAGTGTGAGGTTGTGTACTTTTACCCCAATCGAACCCTGCGTGCGTTAACTGTGAGCCTTGTGAAGGTTTGATGCAGCGAGAAGTGGGAAACACTGTGCAGTTTGAAGAGATGCCGCAGGTTGGCAGGGCTGGGTATACCAGTTTTTATCAAAAGATATAAAAACCCATTTAGGGCTTCAGTAGAGGCTTCATGCCTCGTTCGAATCGTGCACTGATGAGCTATTTGGGTGTTTCCACTTGGCCGAACACTAACACTATGTTCGAATGTTCTTCGTCCTGGACTCGTCTCTCACCGTTCTAAATGAATATGTTGATATAACTAATGACAGAAACAAATATTCATCAAACAAATTGGAGTTTGGGGCACTCTTGGCGGAGAACCGTAAGGCCTACCCGTACACTAAGTCCGTAGTGTGGAAGTCCGAACTTTAAAACATTACAGCGGACTTGCATAGTACTCGGCGTAAGGGACACACAAAATGTCATATCCGGGTTGCAAAACTTCATTAAAGTTGCTTTCGTTGGCGGCCAAGCGTACGCGATAGGTAGGACAAGCCCGCCTGAAGGAACCCCTAAATATTTTTGCAGGTAGAAATTATTGGATATGGATTTACATAGCGTGCATGGCGTTATGGATCGGGGTGCCATTATGTTGCACGCACGCGTACTTGTGTAAAGTGTCTAATGAATGCCAAGATTTCGTATCGCCACGTTTCACACTTTCCTTTGCTGTATCACTTCACGTAATCAAGTATCGGGAGGTAGTGGAGGACACAGATGGTACAGTCAAAGAACTCATCATCAAGCTCGCACGTGCAGAATATGTTCGTGCAGACTTCCATCTTGGCACTTCACGACAGAGCCTGTGAAGCCTTGCTTTGGGGATTCGTGAGGACCCGGCCAGCTGATGTAGCTACGATTCCGCCGCGACAGCGACATTGCGGCTGTCGAACCAGCAGTGCCGCCGTGTCGCAGTCAGCGACGGCGTGGGCAGCTGCAGCATAACTATATTTTGTTGTTGTTGTTACATGGTCGTGGGTGCGTTCCCCGTACCTGCAAACCACCCTAGTACGAGCCGAGGGCTCAAGGGCTGCCAAATCGCCTATAAGCACCATCCTACCTCGCACTTCCAACGAGACAAGTGATGAAGTACACTAACGACCAAAGGGAACGATAGAGTTGCGGTGAGACCATATACGTTCCAGCATCCTTGCCAGGCGTTCAGGTTCCCACTTCATAGCGTCCTTCATATGTTCGAAGCGTGGAAAGCCCATACCAGATAACTATATGTTCTCCAAGCACGAAGCTGCGGTCTGAACCTGCCGCTGGGGCCGCCGCTCCTGCCTCTGTCCCCACCCCTGGCCCGGGCCCTGCGATGTGATTGGCCCTGCTGCACCTCCTTCGCCAGCGCTGCCGTAACGGGAGATGCTGTTACTACCGCAGGAGCTCCCTGCTCCAAGCGACGGAAATGACAGAATACCCCTGATATGTGTGTGTGTGTGTTACATGGTCAACCGCACCGTACCTGCAAACCGCCCAATACAAGCCGAGGGCTCAAGGGCTGCCAGATCGCCTATGAGCACCATTCATGCCCAAGGACATCCAGCTGGCGCGCCGCATTCGTGGCGAGCGGGCTTAAAGTTCACGCGCGGACCTATTCTTTCCCGTTCCCCCAAACCGGTGTTCTTTAACACCACCAAATTAAGCACAAAGTCTTAAGAGGATTTTGCCCGCTATTGTTTGCTTTAACTTCATGTCCAATCCGCTGCATTTTGAGTCGCATTACGCTTATCATACGGCATATACAGACGGGACGTGACCTTGAAACGTAGCGCCATGTAAGGGGAATATGAAGCATCAGGATTAATGACACCGGGTTCACATCATGAAAGATCCCTTTAAGCGGACGTGAACTTGGTGACAGCTTTGGTGCCTGGCCAGGTCGCCAGGCAGCACAAGGCGCACTGCCATCTGGATTTCGCGGGAGGTCACGGTCGGCTTCTTGTTGTAACGGCTGAGCTTCGGTTGCGACCTTCTCGAAAAGATCGCTTATGAAGGTGTTCAAGATGGACATGGCCTTGGAGCCAGTGTTGGGATGCACCTGCTTCAACACCTTGTAGCTGTACAGCTTGTAAGCCTCGCTCTTGGCCACATTGGCCTTCTTTTCATCTTTCTTAGCCTTTCCGTCCTCGCCAGCACAGAAAGCTCCTTGGCCGCCTTCTTCGCCGGTGCCTTCTTTTCCTTCTTCTTTGGGGCCTTATCAGCCTTGGGCTTAGCCTCCGCTTCGGACTCAGTGCCCTCTACCTTCTCGGGCTTTTCCTCCTTCACGTTTTTTGGGGCCCTTTATTTAATGTGATAATAGGTTAGATGGTATTATTGAGTTACATTATGTAATTCTCCTCGCCAAGCGGTTTATTGTAGTGGATCAAAGGAAGGTCGTTGCCCCGGTGATCCCAACTTGCTCGGCCAACTGTTCTGGTGGTCGTTGCAGTAACTACAACGGTCGCCTGGTCGACATAAAAAGCCGAAACCCTCTACAATATCAAGAGATATACAGCTTCTCCTGACATCTCCTTTCAAGACATTGCACGCTTACAGAACATGGCAGGCCGTGGTAAGGGCAAGACCGCTGGCAAGAAGGCTGTGAGCCGCAGCGCCAAGGCTGGCCTGCAGTTTCCCGTTGGCCGTATTGCTCGCTACCTAAAGAAGGGCAAGTATGCTGAGCGCATCGGCGCTGGTGCGCCTGTCTACCTGGCCGCGGTGCTGGAGTACCTGACTGCAGAGGTGCTGGAACTGGCTGGCAACGCGGCTCGCGACAACAAAAAGAACCGCATCGTCCCGCGTCACATCCAGCTGGCCATCCGCAACGACGAGGAACTGGGCAAGCTGCTGGGCGACGTGACCATCGCTTCTGGCGGTGTGCTGCCCAACATTCACGCTGTGCTGCTACCCAAGAAGTCCAAGGGCGGCAAGGGCGAGGAGGCGGCCTAAGCAGCAAAGGCGACGTCGACATAGAACGGGGCACGTGCCCAGCTCTGATCAATGCAATTCAACACCCGGTGTTTTTCAACACCACCTATTCAATACATCCTGGCTACCGTGTAGTGAAGCAAATTACAATTGATTCGGAGATTTATTGGAGTATGAGATCAATACCGCGCCGCCACAACTCAATAATGCAGTCGTACAACATCCCGCATTATTACCACGACAGATGCATCATGGAGTACAGAGTAACTAATAACTTCTTTTAGCCCAGTCCTCGCCCAAAAAACTCTTCATCCGTGGCATCATCCGAGTCCATGGTCTTCAATGATGCACAGACAGTGCTCTTGTCCACCCCAGCGGCCTGTCCTTACAAGCATTACTCGGTTTGGACACCCAGTTGCGAAAAACGACATACAAAACCCAGCGCTGCCCCGCGCATCCCAAATTGAGTTTAGGAAGAACATATAGAAAGATCATCCCATCAGTCCTAATGCATTACGCTAACCCCAAGCCATACCATGACAACAGGGACCCTAGCACATGCCGTATCAGGTATGGCTATTGACGTTGAGCTCGCTTCAGCTGACATGGACAGGACTGTTCGAATACTTCAATATCGTGTGCAGCAAATGGTTACTACCTCTTCCCCAGCTGCGCTTCGCAACGCCTTCATCCATGCCACAGCATCAAGTACACTCACCCAGCCGCGCGACATGAAGCGAGCGCACCTACCGCGAACTATCCAAAGGCGATGAAAGCAATCAACAAGGCGCCAAGAATTCCGCTTGGCTATCGTGGGGGATGTCCGTTAGTACAGATAATGGTTCCTGGACGGGCTCGCGCAAGCATCCAGCAAGGTTAATGGCACGGGACACCCGAACCATCGTAACATCGCTGATTAGCTGCCGACAGGGAGTCCCCTTGGACCCCTTAATTCCTTCAATTATTCCATCTTCCCCTGCTTGTCCAGCACACTATTAATAAACAAATACACGCGCATAGGAGAGGGAATGTCAAAGACAACTACTAGTAGTGCTATTAATACTGCTGCTACTATCAGCAGGGCACTTCAACAACCGTCGAGCCATGTGACCTTGACAGAATGACGCCAGAGAGAGCTGCAACGGCAGGTCGTACATCAACAGCAAAGAAAGGCACATGCAACAACCGTACTCGTGCTACGGCCACATAAGGAAACAAGCAAATCGCAAAAGATGCATGATGCCGATGTCTTCCCGCCGATTATTCTGCACAAAGAAAAATGAGACCGCGCTCACTGCCAACATGAGGCCATTTATACTTTTCTAGCTTTCATAGTGCAGTCGTCAAAGCTATAAACGTGTCATGTTCAATGTAAAGCTATAAACGTGCTATAATGCTTTTTCCTTCGGAGGCACCCGCTCAAAGGAAACCTCAGTAACTTGACTCACTGTTCAGCAACTATGCACACACAAAGCAGTTAAAACCGTCGCTCACTAACCAACAACCAATCTATTAACCAAAAAACGATAATCCATTAAAAGCTACAATGCGACAATGAATAAACAATTGCCCACTCCGAACCAACCAACTGCTTCTTCCCTCTTCCATCCATACATCATCCCGCGCAGGATACAGCGACGAGACCCCAACGAGCGCGGATGGTTGCCACTGCTGCTGATGTGAACCTGGGCCCCGGCCCCTGCCAGCTGCCACCCATCCCACTCACAGTGACCTCTCCTCGAGGTAATGGATACCTCCCCAGCGCCCTCGCCTCTTTCCCCCCCCCCTTTACACACCACTCTCTCTCACACACACTCATGAGGCCGCCACCCTCCACCGTATAGAGGCATCTTCATCTTAATGCCAAACAATCTCCGGCCAGCCCAGCTCCACCTCCGCACCCCGTTGCGCAGACCCAGCCGCCGCCGCCGCCGATGACGCCGTCGACGCACACGAACGGCGGCCCAGAAATGATCGGGTGTTCAAAGCCCGTTCCTTCTCCATCGGTGCCGGCACCGGTGCCTTGCCGCCCTCTGCGACGCGAGGACCCGCCGCCAGCAGTCGCTGCCGTACCCACTCCGCCCCCAGCGGTCCCTCTGTGCTCTCCACTTGCGACACCATGCCCATGCAACGCACGATAAGCATCCGGCGCAATCGCGGCGCTGTCATGCAAAGCTGCAGCAGCGCGCGCTTGCCGCTGGGACGCCCCTCGCCGTCGCCATCGTAGCTGCTGGCGCAGCTGACCCGCGCGACGCCGACGCTTCCGCGCGCGAAGCCTATGCTGGTGCTGGGGTGGACGCCGGCAGTGCCGCCGCGGCGAACGCGGCAGGGCGTGCAGCGCGACAGCTCCAGGTACTCGAGCTCGGGCAAGTTTGCGAGGTACGGCAGTGCGTCCACTTCTAACTCCCCAGAGGCCAGCGTGAGACGCTGAGGAGGAGTCCGGAGATGAGGGTTCCCGAGTAGACGAGAAAAGTGTGTGTGCGAGGGGGGGAAAGACGAACCACGAGAGTGGGGTGGGGTGGGGGCAGCGAAGAGAACAGATGAACCACATAATCATAATATGATTATAAAGTTAATGGCCATGGATACTGCGTTGCATTCTTGTTTTCTAAGGCGTGCATGTGCTCGAGATTATGACAGGGGCCACCACGGCGAGGTTTTCGAAGAAGAGGTTTCTCTAGGGCCGAACCCTAAGCCCCCGCAAGGCCACTTGGTAACCCACCGCAACCCCATCCAGGTAGTATAAACGCATACGGCACGCAGTGCGCCGTACCTGCAACGTAGACAGCTCCGAAACGGCCTCCACGTCACCCGCTCGCATGCCAATGCCGTACAGCTCAAGGGACACAAGTCCTAGCGGCCGCATTTCCGAAATCCAGACCGCATGGCCCACCAAGGGCGCCCGCAACGGCCATGACGGGGGATGACCCTCCACATTGCCGCCCTCCGCCGCTGGCCCTGCCGCCGTCACTGCCGGCCCTGCCGCTGCCTCCCGCAGCGCCTCCAGGGCCCCCGCTGGCGCAAGCAGCTGCTGCGGGGTCTTCTCCCCCAGGGTAGTAGGTGGGCACAAGCTGCCCTGTGCATTGTGAATGGTGAGCTCGCGTGTGACCGCGTGGCCAAAAGCTGGTTCCGCGTCAATGTCCAAGCCGACATCCCGCTTTCCCCCGACGCAGAAGCCGCCACCACCGCCGCCGCTGGATCCGGCGAACCCTTTGGCGCCGACGCCGACGCCGGTGCCACGGAGGCGAGTTGAAGTGGAAAGCGCGCTCGTGGCGAAGGAAGACGCAAAGCCGCTGCTGACGCCGCCGCGGAAGGAGGTCGAGGACAACAGGGCAGGAGTGGCAGCGGCGGCGGCGGAAAAAGGGACGCTGCCGGAGGCCCAGGTTGACGATGCAACACTGCTCGTACCACCACCGTTGCACGATGTAACGCTTCCTCGAGTGCCGCAGGAAGGAACTGCCATGCCACAGACAGGCGGCGGTGGCGCGGCGTCAGCTCCACCGCCAACGAAGCCACCAAGGCTATGTCCATAGCTTGAAGGAGCAGCACCAGCACCTCCATACACTGTCGACAGTGCGGACAGTGGCCAGGGCGGCGCCAGGAGCCGGATGGCCTCCGCCAGCGCCTCTGCCGATGCCGGCAGCATAGTGGATCGCATAATGCCGTCAGAGCCGCGGCTAAAGCCCTACGCAGTGGGTGACGTGGCGTGGCATTTAGTGGGGGGAAGAGAGAGAGAGAGAGGGAAAGGTCGGAACGGGCATTTGCTGGTGGGATCAAGGACGGTTGGTTAGTTACTTGGTTCCCAACGAACCCAACAGACCTGAAGAGCGTCAAATTCCACGTCAAGCATGTCGATCTCAATCCCAGGCACTACCACCGCCATCCTGGTACCGCCGGCCCCACCGCTACCACCTGCCGCCGCGGCCGACGCAGCAGCAGCGGCAGCGGCCCGCGACTCCACTGTTCGCTGTATCGATCGCATCATGCGCAGCGTCGGCCGGCTACGCACAATCCGAAGCGCAGTCAGTGCCGGTGGCAACGGCAGCACTTCCGGTCCTGCTGAGGCGGCGCCGGCGGGAATGCCGGCACTGGCGCCGTCGATCGCCGAGGCCGACCCGACCGACCCAAGGGTCAAGTCCATGAGCTGAGGTACAGCACGCGTGATCGCTGCAAGGTCCGCCACCGCTGGGGCAGCGGCGTCCGGCAGCTCCAGCCGGCGCAGGCCGCGCATGGCGGCGATTACCGTCAGCAGCGGCGTCGCGGATTGAAGTCCGCTAATGGCCAGGCGCTTAAGGCCGGTCAGATTATAAAGCGCTGTCGCGAGCTGCTGTACAGATGGCGCCGCCGCGACGACGGCTGCACGCTCCGCCGCGGCCTTGGACGATGCGCCGGACATGGGCCGGCTGACGCCACCACGGCCGCCAATGTCGTGACTTGTACGGCGACACATGTTGAATGTGCAGCCACGGAGCTCCAAAGAATGCAGGTGGTGCAGGCCGCCAATCGATTTGACGATGCCGGCGGCCGTCACGGCGGCGGCGAGGGGTGAGACGGAGGCAACAGCGCCCGTCGCCACTACGGCGTTGCAAGAGCCGGCACCAGCGTGGGAATGGGGCCCAGCACTCGAGGGCAGCAGCTGGTGAAGCGACACGGTGAGGTGACTGAGGTGGCTGCATGTGTGAAACAGCGTGGACATCCGCTTGGGCCAGCCGACGCAGCCCCACAGCTCCAGGCGCATCAGCCGAGGCGCAGCCGTAGCAACCAGCATCTCCAGGGCGACCGCCGCGGGCTGCCGTGTTAAATCGTACCCGTACAGGTTGAGCCGCAGCGGCAGCGCCGGTGGCGGCGGTGTAACGGTCGTAAGCGTTCGCGGCGTGGGCGTGCTGCTAATGGGCAGCGGGGCAGATGTAGCGGCGATGCCACCGCCGCCGCCACCGGCGGAGGACGCATAGGAGGTGGCTGCTAGCAGAGGCACTGACGGCGCCTTGATGGGTGGCGGTTGAGGCAGTGGTTGCGGCGGTGCGTCCGCAGGCGCTACTGCTAGGAGCATTTGCAGCGCTCGGGACATCTGAGACGTCAGGGGGACTCCGCATAGATGCACCACTGCCAGCTCCTTAGATGCGTCTGCGTCCGCTATGGCCTGGACAACCGCGAGCCTGTGGGTAACGTCGATGGCGGGTCCCGCAGGGTAACGAATGAAAAAGGAGTTTGTTGTCGAGGCTTTGTGCTGTCCCCACGAATGCTGTGCGACAGGTGCCCGGGGCTCTCAGGTTTGCTTTAACAGCGCATCAGCTGAAAATAGGTCTACGAGCCCGGCACAGGACACACGCTGCGGCTGCTGCCAAGGGCGACAACGTGGTGTGCTTTTTGGCAGGTCCCGGTGCCGCATAGGGATTGCCGCGCAAGCGAACGAGTACTCAGCAGCTGCAGAAAGCGGAGACGTGTAAGGGGAGGAGCGAGCGCACAATGCCAGAGGGTTGCTCGGGCTTGGGATGACACACGCGATAACAAAGGTCAGGTTAGGATGCAGCGCTGCTGCCGGCAGCAGCGCCCGCATAACGTAAGTCAATCCATACAATATATCTATTGTGGTATAATACAGGTCTTATCATACAGTACCGCTTTAGAAAAATATGTTCCTTCGCGCGCGCGCCTGCACGCATACTAGGCCGTCAGGTACGAAGGTACGCTCACGCACCCTTCCTCGTGCCGTCGCCGTTCATGCCCTTGCGTAAGGGATAAAAGAAGTAGATGCGGTTGACATCCGCGCTCTGTGAAACCTTTGAGAGCTTTTGCGACTTCGTGGACTGTCGCGCGGCATAGCGGCAGTGGATAGCGCGGCAATCTGCCTCTCGGAACACCCCAAAAGACGGTGGAGTCGTCACAGATGCACAATTGCGTCACCAGCATATCATGAACGCTCTGGCTTTTTCGACAGCATGCCCTGAGAGCAAGGCGTTCTGGTCCGGCGAGATACGACCATAAAATCGGGACAAGGTCAAGAAGTCCAACTTGACCTTCAACAATTTCGTTGGTAGGAATTCCATGTATCTTTTCCTTTGTGCGTTGCGCAGCAGCCTTTGCTCTGCACTTGACAGGCGGCGGTGCAGAGGAAAAGCAAAAGAGAAGCTTATCCCTCCAAGTTGTTCGTGACATTGCAATGTCTTCTAGTAAGGAATATCCTACCTATCTTGTAAGAACTATACTGTTTTATGGAGACGCAGGCGCCTCAAATCAATGGGCAAATCGTGCGATACGGAAACGGCGCGCAGATGGCCGAGCTGCCGCGAGCCGTACTCGACGAGTCAGCCATGTTCCTTGGCAACGTGATAACCGGCACAAACCCATAAAATTATACTGTACTACGGCGCCATTCGATGAGGCAAGCGTAACTCCTGTTCTGATGAGCCACCGATAAGTCATCGCTGCGTTGACCGCAATCTGCAACTGTTAAAAAATTGTAATTAGGTTGACGTCGTGCGCCGGCTGCCGCGATACGGCTATCCTTGTTTTGCTGCATTATCTTAGGTGTTGAGCACGTTCTGCAACCAGTTTCTCCCGCTGCGGTGTTGAGCAACCGACGCAGCCTCGCCTTCTATCTTAAGAATCGGTCACAAGATTTGAAGGGGTAAACGCAGATTTGGATTGCGGTCGTGGAAAAAGGATGCCGGACGTTCCTTTCAGGCCACTCCAGTATGTGATCCTCATGGACTGTACGTAGCCAATCCAGTGAGGCTGGCAGTCAGCTGTGGGTCACTGTTGATTAAGCACATGTTTTGTGTACCGCAGCTGAGCCAGGCTAAGTACGGATTTCAGGTCCTAGCCCTTGTTCACGTAGTTGGCCAAGTCGTTCCGTTTGCGATATACACGTGTGATGCGTATTACTATGACTTGAGTACGTATAATAAATGTCAGACGTGATACCGAGGAGCGAGGACAAAGAGGATCGCACCGTACGCGACGACTGAGAATATAGGAACCCCGTTGATCAGGCAAAGACAACTGCCTGTACACACAACTGCCCGTATAATATTAGCTTCATCATAACAATTATCTAGATAATGAGGCAGCTGGGCTCGCGACAGGTTCGCCACTATGCGGAAATGACCAAAGGGCGCACAACTCCCAGCTCAAGCATCATTGGTATACCGCGCTCACATTTGGCACCTACGGAAATGGTTCGGGCCTCTGGGGCTGACCTCCTCTGGCACCGCGGACATCCGCGACTACAGGCCTTGCAGGGTGGTCAAGGCAACACCGGCAGCCGCGAGCAGCTGACACGGAGGACAATCCTCCTGCACTCTTCTGCTCTACCCGCGTTCCTTCTGAGCCTGACAATTGGGTCAGGTGGGGGTTCGCATTGCACGTCGTTCATTTCGCCACATCAATCCGGCACTGCACCCTAGGCCGCGAATCCCATCCGCAAAGTCGCACTGTACTTGCGGATTTTTTATGTGAGGTCGCTGTGTCATGCCGGGAGACGCAACATGCATACAAAAGCAGTAGTTTTTGTGATGAAAGCCGCTTCCCTCCGGGTGCTCAAGGGCGCCCTTGATACTGAAGGGTTCGGGTAGGCAACTGAAATTTACCCAGCTGTCCATACATACGCACATACATACATGCACACATACATACGTGCATGCGCATGGTATAGCCGAAAGCGCTGCGTTCTGCCCCCGTCATCATCGTCCCCAAGCCCGCCCTTACCCCTCGCCTTCCTTAGGCCCTGCCCTGCTGATGTGTGTGGGACAGGGGGGCCGTATCTTCACCCGTGGCCGCTACCTGGCGAAACCCTGCCATCCCCGGTATTTCGGGGCACCCTCATCTAGTCACCCTTCTCAGTGGATCGCTCACGTTTGGCACCCACCACCGGCCTCCAACGGAATCTGCCGGATCGACGGCGGCCCAACTCCATTCCTGGTCGGCTCGCAAGTCAACTTTATCCCAGGTCACCACCGTCCAACAACTAGGGGCATTTTACCTTCCAACATCGGAAGGATTATCGACCTTGATAGGTCTCGATCCCGGGACTGCTCTCGATCCCGGGACAGGTCTCGATCCCGGGACTGCTCTCGATCCCGGGACAGGTCTCGATCCCGGGACTGCTCTCAATCCCTGCTGTTCTCCCCATTGACCCCTTCTTTCCCCCTTCCCCCGCCGCATCCTTTTCCCTACAATATTCGTTCGATACCTCGCAGATGACCCCACAACGCTTCTTAACAGCGTTCTAGCGGGCTACGGACTGCCCAAGCTGCCTGGATCTACTGGATTCAAAGTATTGGTGAGCTGCCGTGCGTCAGTGCCTCGCGGGCGTTTAAACAGTCCAGGAGAAAAGAAATCTAGATAATAAATAATAACGAAAACAATCTTCCGACTTTCACCTCGTTTACCCTCCTCAACCACATTGAACACATCTCCATCTTTTAAGGATTGGTCCCCAAAAACACACACACACAGACACACAGACACACAGACAGACAAGTAGATGGACAGACAGACAGACATGCTGCTCTGAACGTTGACAATTATCCCAAATCTTTGTTCCCATTTTGTCCTCCTGGGAAGGATGACTTCGAGTTGGACTTCACGCTGGAGTACCCGCGGTCTTGGGTGGTACGACCCAATACCCTGAGGCAGGGGGTGTACATATCAGGTCAGTGTACGGAAATGCGGGAAAATCGTGTTTGGTCATGCACCAGGCGACATCCAGACCGCCAACTGCTGGAGCTGGAATGTAGAGCGGGAAGAGGGGATTTTGCACACCTTTACACTGGTCTCAATCGTCCGAATTCGAAAACTATCAGCGTCCTAAGCGATAAAGCCATCGAATCATAGTTCCGGAAGTAAAAAATCTCGTGAGGAGGTTTTGGCGGAACAGGGCTCCTCGCTTTTTGAATTAGCGCCTTGTCAGGAGCTCCCCCCTGTAATAGCCAATCGCCCGGGGTCCTATCCCCCTCTGATATTGTCACGCACTTCTTCTGCTATTGCTATTGCTACTGCCACTGCTACTGCTTCTGGGTTCCCTGCTACTGACCGATGTTTACGTGTACCTCCGCTGTTGTTGCAGCTACGGCTGATGTTGCTGTCTAAACCTTTTTCCCCTTTCCCTCCCTGCTCTCTGATTTGCTCATCCCCGCCAAAGACTTCAACACCGCTGACAAGCTGACTGTGGAGGTGCTGCCGCTGGCTGCCACCGGCAGCAGCGGTGACCTGGTCGCGGCGGCAGTGGCCGCGGCGGTGGTGCCCGGAGCCGGGTTGGGTCAGCAGGTGGGGCCACAGCCACTGCGACTGCGGCATCGGGGGCAGGGTGGGGCCTAAACAAGGGAAGTGTGTCAGACAGACGAACAGGCGGACGGACGGACAGACTGGGCAAGGGTGGTTAATGTTCCTAGCTAGCAGGGAGAGAAAGAGAAATAGAGAAGGAGGGAGAGAGAGCGGTGCAGACGGGTATGTGCTGGGTCTAGTGCGTCTGAATTGAGCTGGCACAAGTCAGGATTGAGCCAGATCTGGATCCGGATCCGGCAGTCTTGAGACTCGTTTTCGTTCGATTGCCGGTTCAGGTTTTGGCCCCCCCATCCACATACGAACGTACACAGACAACCACATACATACATACCCACACGCACACCCCACATGCATCAGGATGACAAGCTGCTGCTTCCGCCGGCCAGTCGAGTCAAGAGCCGTACAGAGCTGGTGGATGGAAAGGTGCGGGATAAGGAAAGTGGGGTTTGGGAGGGGGAGGAGGGAGGGAGGAGGTCAGTCCCTGCTCATACTTGGATATGCAGCCCTGATCGCACATCCCTTCCGTCGTGTAGCTGCTTTCTTCCCCTTATGCTCCTCCTTATTTCCCTCCTGCTGCTGCTACTGCTGCTGCTGCTTGTGCTACTACTGCTGCTGCTACTATTACTACTGCTGCTACTGCTGCTGCGACTGCTGCTGCTACTGCTGCTGCTTGTGCTACTACTGCTGCTGCTGCTACTACTGCTGCTACTACTACTGCTGCCGCGGTTAATGCCCCTCTCCATCCCCCCTTCCCCATCACCTTCACTCGCTCGTGGCTCGTCTTCACCCCCTTTCCCCCTCCCCCTCCACCCTTAGGAGTACACGTACTTGGAGTTCCCCTCGGAGACGGTCACCCGCAGTGGCTACCAGGTCCGGAGGAGGAACTTCGCCGCGGCGGTGGTAAAGGGGGGGAGGCTCTACACGCTTAACGCTAGGTAAGTGCGACCGCACACACACCGCTCACGCATTCTCATTCCTCTCCAGACAGACAGATCGACAGACAGATCGACAAACAGACAGACACACGCCGTCTTCAGTGGATTAGTCCACCCGCTGCTGCAGTTTTGTTTAACCCGCGTCTCCCCTTACATCTCCTCCCGGCCAGCGCTCACTGGTCAGTTCATGGTCTGGCATCTGCAAATAACTTCTCTACTACTTTCCCGCGGCCCCCAAAACCCCCCACGCCCTTATCCCTGCTTTCACCCTTTTCTCCCCCCCCCCGGCAACCCCCGCCCCACCCACCCCCTCCAGCGCCCGCTCCGACCAGTTCAACAAGGAGAAGGAGGCCCTTCTGCGGCATGTGGTGGAGTCTTTCAGAGTGAGATAAACACAGTACGGAGCATTACACACACCGCCGGATACGTCTAAATCAGCCGGTACATTCGCCGGTATGGCAGCAGTAGTACGGCACCGTCACCAGTACGGAGCAAGAGGCGGTTCCTTTATTCTTAGTAAACCCCTACAGCAGTGGGGGATGGGGGGAAAGGGGCGGAGGAGATGCCCGGCACAGGACCCACCCGCCCCGAAGTAGGGGGGTGATGGAGGTCTGTCCTTTTTTCTGCTCGCTTGCTAGGGGGCTAAGGATTGTCAGGGATGTGCGTGCTCCTGTGCTGTGTGTATGTGTTGTGTGTGGCATCATACCTGACCTGTAGCAGCGAACATGGCCTAACGTGCGGGCGCATGTGTGCATGCAAGTGCGTATGCATGCATGTGTGTGCGTGTATATGGAATAAGGCGTGCAGTCCTGGAGTTTGGACGGACTTGAAGACGTTTCCCCCCTCCCGGTGGTTGGGTGGGTGCTGCGTCAGCCTCTGGGGTTCGGGTATGGCCGGCCGCGTTACCTGCCGTACACTGTGTGATGTGGCTCTCCCACGAGAAGAAACTTTTGTGCTTTCTTCAATTCACTAGTGCTGCTTGGATTCCCTTTGTTTGCTTGTGCGCGTTGGCGACCGGATTTAGTTTATCGACAGGAGGAAAGAGCTAAGCAAGGGCGCACCCAGGACACCAAGTTGGGCTCCCAGGGCGGCGGTTGTGCGGTAGTTTGGTTAGTTAAGGGGGCTTATGGGAGCGGGAACTTGGAAAAGCAACCCCTTCACAATGGCGCGGACACGGCCGGACCAGATAGAGTTTGCACGGCAGTGCGTAGGGTGCTGTTTTTCCCTTCAATGACGCTACGTGTCAGATTTTCTCTTTTTTTCAGGCTGCAGCAATAGGTCCATACCGCGATTGTTGTCCTCTTAACTGGTCGCCTCGGGGCGTTTCAAAGTGGGGGCCCCTTGTTGTAGGGGAGGAAAGAGCGCGGGAAAGAGTTAGATAACTGCGGGGTCGGGTCTGCGTGCGTGAGGACTGGGGCCCGTTGCTGGCGCAGGGTGACAGACAGGGCGTTGCCGTTGTCCTTGGTTGTTTGGGAGTGGCGGAAACGAAGCAAGTCCAGGGCGGTTTAAACTGGTTAGGCTGAGAGGGCTGTGGGACCCCCTTCTGCCTGTTGCCTCAGCGGTTTCGGCATGGAAGCTTTGTGTTGTAAAGCTGTAACTAAATATTCAGTGGCAATAAAGTTCTCGGTGTCTTCAATAGCAGAGCTATGTGCTTTCTGTGCTAAGACTCGTGTCCTTTAGGATTCATGGCTTTGAAACCTGTCGTACAACTGCGGTTGTGGCTTGCTTGCGTTGCACTGCCACAGCGTCCCGAGAGAGTAAGTCTCGTCCGTACTTTATGCGACGCGAATTGGGTGTTTCACATTTTAGGTACTCTTCTCCGTTTGGCAAGGCTTTGTCACAGCAGTATTGAAAGCAAAGCATCGACATTCGTTTCCGCCCTATTTAAAACATATTTTTCGGCTATATTAGAGTTGCAGATATGCAATTTGCTTTTCGTGGGATACCGTCGCAGCTCGCTGTGCCACAGAGGCGGCCGACTCGATGCTGCGCGGCGGGCGTAGAGGTACCAGCACCAACAGGCGATAAGCGTCAGCAACCGCTCGGCAAAAAAGTCTCCCTCGTTTCTTTAGGCTGCCCGAAGAATGTTGTTGACGGTAAGAGTTTGAAACATACGACCATGACTGATAGTCGGGGCTGCACATACTTTAATCTTCGACATCTTTGCTGTGGAGTGATCAAACAAGCATCTGGGCTTCTTTTTATCCCCCCTCTTCACCTCACCTAGTCCTGCCTCACGCACAACCCTCACGTCCATCCCCTTCCTTCGTTTTTTACTTTCCTCTTGTCCACGCGCCCATATCCTCGCACCCACGCTACCCATCACTCTCATGCCCGTCCTTTACACCCTTTCCCCCTATCCTAACAACTACTACCTTCGCCATCAGGTGAGGTGCTGCTGGGTGACCTCACTCGCGCGGGTTTCTCCGTCACTGATGACCACGAGCAGTCCGACGCCATCATCGTCAACACGTGTGCCTTCGTGGAGGATGCCAAGAGCGAGTCTCTGGAGGTGAGCAAAGGGGGAAAGTGAGGAAGGGAAGAGAGGGAAGGAAGGGAGGGAGGGAGAGCATTCTTCTCAATTTCATTTCGCAACCACATCTCGCCTCCTTCAAACCACTCCAAAACCATTTCAAACCACTCCCAACAATGGCAAGCTTCGTTTCTATCTCCCAGGCTATTGTCGAGGCCGCCTCCCTAAACGAGGACGGCAAGCGGCGCAAGGTGGTCATCACCGGCTGTCTGGCGCAGCGGTACTCGGATCAGGTGCGAGTGGGGGGCAAAAGAGGCAAAGACGGGTTTGTGTGTGCGTGTGTTTTGGCGGGGATGGAAGTGCCATCTGGTGTGAGGTGAGGTGATCTGAGCGCGCCTGCCCTGAAGCATACTTCCCAAACAAGATCCACAGCATTTTTCCAGGGAAAATCCAAATTAACCCAAAATCTGGATCCGGTTTTCCGCAGCTAGCTAGCGATCTTCCGGAGGCGGATCTGGTGGTGGGTTTCCAGAAGTACGGCAACCTGGCGGCCTCCCTGCAGCGGAGCATGGGGCTGGAGCCAACGCGGGAGGCACTGGAGCTGGCGACGGCGGCGGAGGCGCAGCAGCAGTCGCAGGAGGAGGGCGTGACGTCAGCGGATGCGGGGGCACGCGGCGAGGTGGCGGAGGCGGGCACGTCGGGACAGCGGGTGCAGGTGGGCTGTGGTGTTGTATGGTGTGGATGTGTCTTGACGTTACGTTTGTGTCTCTGTGTGTATGTACGTGTGTATTGTTAAATATGACCTTCGGAGCCGGTGGTACACAAATGACTTCACCGAACTTGTGCGTATGTATGTATGTATACGTGTGTGTGGGGTGGGGATGGGGTTCCAAATCCCGAGGTTGGCGGTGATGGTGGGCAGGTTGGGGGAAAGCGGATGATGATGATGGCGATGGGGGAAGGTATAGGGCACACGTGTGTGTGTGTGTGTGTTTTGGTGGGGTCTTAGGGTTTCAACCACCACCCATCTCCCCCCCTCTTCCCCCCCTAGGTGGGAGCCTCCACTGTTCCCTTCCGCCCCGAATGGGACCGCTACCGACTGACCCCCCGGCACAGCGCCTATCTGCGGGTGGCGGAGGGGTGCAACCACGCATGCACGTTTTGCGCCATCCCGGGATTCAGGTACGGCACGATACGGCAACGGGGCGAGGGCGCGGTAGCGGGCCGGGGGAGTTTGGATGTGCGGAGAGATGGTCGTCGGCGAGTGGGACGCGGAAGGAGAGGCGCCGAAACCAGGCTGTGTGGTGGTCCCTGACCTGTGGGGGCCTGCAACGTGCGACTGTGTGGTGTCGAAGATGTGTTGTTCAAGCTACGTCTACAGCTACATTGAAATGTCCTAACACGTCGCTGCTGGCTACGGAGCTGGAATCGGTAATCGGTAAGGGTTATTCCCGTGTACCACCATCAGCATTTCCCTCATCGCGGCTCCGAAGACCATAAAAACACACACATACATACATACATACATACATACATACATACATACATACATACATACATACATACATACCCGTTCGGGTCAAAGACCTTCCGATGGTGGAAGGCATTGCGCCCCTAGTTGATGGACGGTGATGACCTGGGATAAAGTTAACCCGCGAGCCGACCAGGAATGGAGTTGGGCCGCTGTCGACCCGGCAGATTCCGTTGGATGCTGGTGGTGGGTGCGGAACCCGAGCGATCCACTGAGAAGTTGACTAGGGTGACTGGATGAGGGTGCCCCGAAATACCGGGGAAGGCAGGGTTTCGCAGGGTAGCTGCCACGGGCGAAGATACACCCCCCTGTTTCACACATCATACATACATGCACGCGTACATACGTACATACGTACACGCGGCTGCAGGGGCAAGTTCCGGAGCAAGCCCTGGCAGGCCGTGTTGGATGAGGCGAGGCACCTGGTGGCCAACGGAGTGAAGGAGCTCAACCTGATTGCGGAGGATACAAACCAGTACGGCATGGATAGGTACGGCATTGTACGGACATGACTGCTGCCGTACCTCGTTGACACTTGTTGTATATATACGTGTGCGGGAATGGACATGAAGAGTGTGTAAGAGCTACCAACGAGATGGCTACTCGATTGCGCGTGCTGTTTCATGTATGTATGTATGTCGACCTATCGGGTTTGGTAATGGTGCTATCCCTGGACACCAACAAGTCCGATTTGTCGTCTCCGCTGCGGTCCTACCTCTCTGTGCTTCGCTTATGGGTCTTAGACATGTTGTACCTTGTACGGCACAGGCGTGACGGTCGAGATCTGGCGCAACTGCTTCGGGAGCTGTCGCAGTTGGAGGGCCTGCACTGGATCCGGATCCTATATGCCTACCCGTCGTATTTCAACGACGCGCTGATTGACGAAATTGCAACCAACCCCAAGGCGCGTGTGTGTGTTGTGTGTGTACATACGTACGTGTATGTACTTATGTATGTATGTGTGTGTGTTTCTCCGTGCATACACATATGTATACGACCCCGCCGTTTCAAAGCCCCTTGACAGTCACCCCCTTTCTCCGACCCATGGGTCGTTCTTGGCGCCGGGGCGTTGCCTGTCTAAATATACTTGTGTGTTGCGTTCCCATGTCTGTCCGTATCTCTCCGGTCGAGTCCGCGGCTCTCTTGCATTAGCTCCCATATCTCCCCTTTCTCCCCGTCCCATCCGTTAAATGTCCACAGTTGATTTTTTACCTTTTGAAAAATTCCACACATACATACACGTAGCGCAGTGCACGGCCAGCTGGCCAGTCCACTGTAACAACCAAACACACACACATACATATGTGTGGGATGCACGATTGGAGACACACACACACACACACACGCACGTCCCCCTACTAGCCTCCCCCCTCCCTGTGGTCCTCCACCCACCCCTTCCCCTCGCTCCCCCTTATCTTCAGGTGTGCAAGTACCTGGACATGCCCCTGCAGCACATCTCCAACCTGACCCTCCTGGCCATGAACCGGCCACCCCGGGAGCACACCCTCAAGCTGCTGACCACACTGCGCACCCGCATACCCTCCCTGGCGCTGAGGACCACCTTCATATCGGGATTCCCCGGGGAGACGGACCAGCAGCACCGGGAGCTGGTGGAATTTGTGAAGACGTTCAAGTGAGGAGGGGGGAATGGGAAGGGGGAGGGGAAGGGGAGGGGAAGGGGGAGGGGAAGGGGAAGGGGAAGGGGAAGGGGGAGGGGGAGGGGGAGGAGGGAGGGAGGGAGGGAGGGGGAAATTCAGCGCGAAATGCGAACATTAACTCCGACTTTGGGAGGTCCCAGGGTTCCGGAGCGTGCCGTAGGGCACACATGGCCGCACAACGATGGTTGTACGGCCTAAGGACTACGGCTGTACATCCTAACGTGTGTGTACGTTTCGCGTACAACTTGTACGTTTTTAGACCGCGTATACAATTCTTTAAACGTATTATGCGTGTATAAATGATTATACGCGTATAATACGTGTCGTATAAACGTACACGGCCACCCTACTCACAAGCCCAACAACTCGTGCGTCCTCTGGGCCTCCCCTTCCCCTCTTTCCCTCCCCCCCCCGGGTCGCAGGTTCGAGCGGATGGGTTGTTTCGCGTTCAGCGAGGAGGACGGCACTCCGGCCGCCTCGCTGCCTGACCAGGTGCCCCAGCGGGTGCGGGAGAGGCGGCGGGACGAGCTGATCAGCCTGCAGCAGCGCATCGGGGAGGAGTGGGCGGAAGGGCTGGTGGGCCGAGAAGTGGAGGTGCTGGTGGAGGGGTAGGTGCTGTCTTGGGGAGTGTGTGTGGGGGAGGAGGGAGTATGTCGGTGTCTGTGTATTGTCCTGTGTGTGCTGTTGTGTGGTGGCGCGCGTTTCCAAATTAGGACCGAATTGCGTTTTTCTCGGTTTTCATTTCTTATCAGGTCCCCTCCTTCCCCCTCCCCCTCCCCCTCCTCCTCCTCCCTGCCCCTCCTTCCCCCTGCTCCTCATCCTCATCCTGGCCCTCCCTCGCCAGCGTCGACATTTTTATTTTGTTGACTCTGGCACACATTACCCTCCTTCGCCTCCCTGCCCCCCTGCTTTCCCACCCAGCCACCCCTCCCGCCCCCGCCTCACCCTCCCGCCGGACGCCGGTAGTCCATTTTCCGTTTCCTTGCATATGATTCCCCACCTCACCCTCCCTGCCGCTTTCCTCCTCAGCTACAACGATGACGACTGGCTGATCGGTCGTACTCAGTGGGATGCCCCTGACGTGGACCCGCTGGTGTTCTTGACGGACTCGGAGGACCCCCATGTGGCCAAACTGGAGGTGAGGGGGGGGGAGGAAAAAGGGATGGGTGGGTGGGGTAAGACGAACGGACCACTGGCGAATGAAGCATGTACCGGAGATAGACGGAAATAGTCCAGGAGGAGAAGACAAATGCTGCATCAGGATTATTTACTAGCGACCTGTGATGGCTTGAGGAGGGTGAGGAAGGTGAAGAAGGTGAAGAAGGGACTAGCTGGGTGGACGAGGGGGAGTACTACTGCTGCAGCAGTTGCGTATGCCGTCGACGTGCTGTGTTTCCAAAAGCACCGACTGCTGCTGCCAAAGTCGAAAGAATTAGGGTAGTTCTAGAACCACGTTCCTCCAAAACCAATTATTGGCGGATGAAGTGAAGGATGGAGGAAGGGAGGGAAAGAGGGAGGGGAGGGGAGAGGGGTTGTTGGTCGTTCGGCGGCATGAGAGACGGTGTCCAGGTTCTGGGCGTGTGACAGCCAGGCTGGGCCAGGAGAATGGGCGCAGGCGTGTTCTTCTCTAAGCCTTAGGAATCCGGAAAGCCCTCTGAAACCACGCAGATTAACTCGCATGGAGCTAAGCGCCGCCTTTTCCGGGTATGGTGTACGGCATACGACGTCTTGTCCCGCAGGCTGGCCAAATACGGCGCTGCGTGATCACTTCCAACTCGCTTTTTGATCTGGAGGCGACGCCCATCGTATGACGAGGGCTACATATCCCACATGTGACCCATACGTCGGTTTCTATGTAAAGCTTGGTCCGAGTATGTGCATTGACGTGGCATGGCTGATGTGAGCTGAGGGGATGGAGGCCGGTGGTGGCGTTTTGCGCGGCAGTGCCCTGGGAAGAGGTGCGGACAAGAGATGTGCGGAGAACGAGGATGGCAGCGTGCTAGAGGTAGAGGGAAGGGACAGCGATCACAGGGGCTTATGTGTGTGTCCTGATTTGGCTTAAGGGATGGCAGCTGCTGAGTTGCTAAAACGCGGTGTGCCTCTGTTGCGAAACTGAAGTACGGCGTGTCGGCGTGTCGAGGGGCACGGAGCGCTGCGAGGGGAATGTATGCTAATGGTTGTGGAGCATACAGTGCTCTTCTCATTGGCCGAAATACTGGAGCTGTAAGTTTGATACAGGTATAGCTTGAGGCGGGCGATGATGTGTGTAAGGAGGCGTAGGAACGCATGGAGGAGGATGCATGCACGTGTTGGGGTCCCCTGCTGGCCTTCCATCTATGCATCCGTCCTCTGCTGGCACGAACCGCGCGTGATGAACCGTGAAACCTGAAATTATACGAGTGTATTGCGTAGAGAGGAACGAGCAGGTGTGTTTAAACGAACGTAAACGGAACACACAACTTGTCGCTTGGTATTCCCCTGCGTTTGCCACACCAGCCGCGCCACCAAATTTGAGCATCGGCTCAGCCCTGAACTATTGAAGCTAGTGCATGGGGAGCCATGGACGGTAGAGCTCGGCAGCTAGGAAACCTGCACCGCAGGTTTCGCCTCTCAGCTCTTCTGCGTTCCGCCCTTGCTTTCCCCAAGCGAAAAACGAAATGCTGACTAGGCGAACTCATGCATGGCGACACATGTTATGACGTTTTGTACTCAGATGCATGGCTGTCGCCATACATATATATGAATCCAAGTTCAACGATGTTCTGAGGAGTGAAGCAAACAGGACTCGTAAATTACAGGTTTCCAGCGGGTACATGCATGTAGGCGTTCGGCTCTACTTGCCCCAATTATGATCCAGCTGGCAAGTGGCAACCGTTCCAAGGCCGCTGCAGTTGCCCCGGATGCCTGGATTTAGCTTTGCTAAATGAATATATTATAAGCTCTAGAGTCCAGACCATAAGCCGAACTATGTTGGCTTGGTAAATGATGATTCGACTGGTAGTTATATTGGTTGGGCAATTTCCGTTCGTAACATACTCGAACCGGATTGTTGCCTAAGTATTGTAAGTGACAAATTTTCTTCCGCTGGACTCTGAGGAACAGGGACACACTGCTATCAACTGTCATCCAAGGAAGCCACGACACTTGGGCGCGGAAGAATAGGATGTGTTTTTAAGGCCTCTAGAAAAGGCCATTAAGTCGACCTTTGTTCCATTAACTGCCACGATGCCCCCTTCAGGGCGTCGGCCGGGCACGGAATTGCTACCAGGATTGTCGCTGACCAAAGCGCTTGCGCTGGTTATGGGCGTATGGGTGACGTGCACGCTCATCATGTTCCACCAGCACTCCTTCGTGGCTGTCTCTCGATTCGATTATAGCGACCAGGTCCTTTCCTCCCTTCCGATGCATGCTCTAAAAGTTAGCCACATCGCGGAAATTATCACCCACGCGGCGCAGTCGGTATCCTTTGTCCCTATTGAAGACGATCCGAAGCGGCCCTATGCCCTGGTTCTCGTTGCGAACTACTTCGGCAGCAGCGGTCTCTTCCTCCTCCGCCCTAACGCACGGCGCCCTGTGCAACCGCTGGCTATCCTGCAGGTAAGCCCCGGACGGAAACACCCCCTCCCACTTTTTCACTGATCCCGTTCTCGGGCTCGCCCTTTAGACCATTGGACTGAACACTGCATGCGCACGTTCTATACTGAGCCGCTTCCCAGTCAAGCTCCAATCTAGCGTCCCAGCACTTCAAAATTTTCCGGCCACACACCCCTCGGCCTGACCTCGAAGGATACACCTTCCTGCTTTCCGCACATGGTTAGGTGGACAACCGAATGGCGTATCGTGCCGCCCTGCCGCCCGACATACATGCATGGCTGAATGCATGGCCCGCGCCCGCGCAGTCATTCCCGTAATGGAAAACGCCATCACGCCAGCTGTCTTAGGTGCTCAAACAGCAAACAAGAGCCTCTGCTGGCTGACGTGGCACGCTATCCTCCTCCGCAATGTCACTACTCAATTCGACATTCCACAACCTGCGTGGAGAACGTCCTGCCGCCCGGGTCCTGTCCCCTTGCGCTTGCTTGCCGACACGCTGCAGACGGAGTGCGGGCACAGCTGGGCGGTTTGGCGGCAGGGCGGCCGCCGCTGGGCAGCGGTGGCCAACTATTGTAGCAAGGTAGGCGGGCGGGTTGGGTGGGCGCAGCCTTTACCTTACTCAGGGTGGAGGTGCTGCTGGCGGGTGTGCCCCTCTTGCCTCTACCGTATCCGCATGTCGGTAATCCTCTGGCAGGGGCCTCCCCCTGAAGCCCCGTGGGCGCCTGATGGCCAGATTGTCCTCCGAGCTTCTTTGCATTTGCCTTCGTTTACGTACGTGCCAAGGGAGTCTGATAGCGGCTCCGACTACAGCTTGAAAGAACGTGCGTGCGTGCGTGCCTCGTTCACGAGGACCTTAGACGCTCATGTATAATGTTGTTGGTTCTTTTGGCGGCACCCCACGCGTGCAACCGGTTGGACGGCTGTTGCTGCTGCAGGATAAGCACAAGGGCGTTGTGGTGTACGAACTGGAACCCCTAACGGGGTCCGGAGCGCAGATCCCCGACTGGGGCTTCAAAGCCGCTGCAGCCATCTCCGCCAACGGCTCCTCGTATGTGCTGCACATGAAGCTGCCCTTAAGTCCAGAATCGTCGGGAGGATTAGGATCCAGTGCGGAAAAGCATGGATTTGGATCTAAATCTGGATCTGGGTCGGCGGCGTCAGCTGGGGGTGCATTATCCGCGGGCGCCGGCGGCGGCAACTCTGGGATGAGAGGGCAGGCATGGCAGGACGTTCTGGCGGTGGCGGAGTACGGCAGCGGCCATTGGGTGCTGTACGGCTTGGAAGATAACCAGGATAAAGGATTGATGATTTCAGAGCTGCAGCGTGGGGCGCTGCGCGGCGTGGCAGCGCTGGCGGTTTGCAGTACCGGCGGCGAGGGTGACGGCAGTGGTGGCGGCGGCAGCGGCAATGGGGTTGCGGGAGACTTCTTTCTGGTCGGGTTGTCGTACTATGACAAGGGTTTTGCCACGCGCTCCGCAGTGTATAGGTGGGTGCCCCCGCTTTGCCTTTTATACTTCCACCTTTCCATGGTATCGATTCGTCGTACATACGTCTGCCGTACACCGTGCACCGTACAACACACGATTTCCTGTTAAGTGAGTTTTGGTGATGGTTACTGGCATGTACGCATGTGCTTTTCTACTCGTCCCGACCATCTCAAATACTTACATGTTTACATGTTTTACACCTAATCTAATCTGACCCCTACATTCTTCATGTGCGTATTGCCCGACCCATCCAGCCCCAGCTCCTCCCGCACCGCCTTCGGGCCCCCACCCGTCTCCCTCCCCCCTCTCCTTCCCTCTCTGCAGGTGGCACCCTGGGAAGCGGCAATTCCTGCTGCTGCAGGTGCTCGCCACACACGGCGCCCACGGGGCCCGCTGCTTCACCATCCACGAAGCCAACCCCACCACCACCACCACCACCACTACCGCCCCGGCCACTGCTGCTGCCAAAGACGCCACTGCCTCTGACAGCGGCACCAGCACCAGCAACACCGGCACCGGCAATCGCAGCACTGCTGCGGGTAGCAGCGCCTCGCTCTTCCTGGCCATTGCCAACAGCCGTCACGGCGACAGCTACGCCGCCAACTCCACCTTGTGGCGCTACGACCCGGGGTCAGGTCGTTTCCTGTTGCACCAGACAATCGTAACGGTGGGGGCCCACGACGTACAGCACCTGCGGCTGCCGGCGTCAGGGACTGGAGCGACGACGAGGATGTTGACGAGGGCAAGGGCGGCTTCGCCAGTGGTGGCGGCCACGCGAGTTGGCCGTGCAGCAGGTGCAGGTGCAGGTGCAGGTGTTGGTGGCAGCAGCGACGGCGGCGCGGGAGTGAACGGTGCTGCTGCGGAGGCGGTCGTTGATGTGTTGGTGTTTGCCAACCGAGGAGCTGACCAGGTATACGTGTATGAATGCCTTGGCTTGTGTGCGGCTCGCGGGACCCCTCTGGTGGGACCCCTCTGGTGGGACCCCTGGTGGGAATCTTGGGGCGGGGGCGAGGGGGTAACGGGCAACAGGTAAACGGTAAACGGTAGCGGGAAGAGCCAGCTCAGGTGCTCACCTGGGATTTCGAGGAGTAAGAGCTTCTCCTCCTCCCCCTCCTCCTCCTCCTCCTCTTGCCCGGTTTCCTAGGGTACCTAGGGCACCAACATACGCAACTCACCCTCCCCTTGACTCTCCTCACCCTGCCCTCTGCTCGCCCCGGGCCCCATCTTACCCCCAACTTACCCCCTCTCCCCAATACACACATACATACGCACACACACGTGCTCACAGCTTTGTAGCCCTCAGGAGAACAGTCCGCTGCTCACCTGGGTCAGTGAGCGGCAGCGCTTCGAGCCCGCCGCGCACCTGGCGGGGCTTCAGTGCGCCACAGGGCTGGCTGCGGGTCGGCTGGGCGGCAGCACACTGCTGCTGGCCACGGGCGACCGAACCGCCAACGGCACCACTGCAGGGCCCCTGACACACGTGTGGAAGGTGGAGGTGGCTCGGGCGCGGCAGCGGAAGGGCGGGGCTCATAGGTGGTCATAGGTGATCATGACCCCCGCGGGGACGGCCCGGAGGAAGCGGTTTTTTGAGTGTTTGGAGCTGTTTGGACTGGGTTGCTCTGGCTGTTGCTGGGGTTTCAAGGGGTTTCTTGTGGTCGACAGGTGCCGGCGGAAGGGAAGGGAAGGGAAGTAGACCATCGGGAGAAGGGAGGGAACAAAGGGGGATTTAGGGAGCGAATGTGGGGAAGGTGTGAAAGGGATGACACATGCGCGGAATGCAATTCGGTAACCAATAAAGGTCGATACGGGGCCCGAGCCGAAAATGGCCTGTTTGTGTGCAAAACCGTTGTGGGAGAAGCCTTTGTTCCGAGCATGTGGCCGTATGTATGATGTTGTTACAGGGTGGTATAGCTGTGTGGCCGTATGTTTGTATGAATGTATGCATGTATGCGTGTGTGCGTATCTATCAGCCTTCCGTCCACGCGCGCGGCTTCCAGCCCGTCGGCAGTAGTGCTTACAGCAGGAGCATCAGGAGCAGCATTAGCGGTGAGGAGTAGCAGGAGTGGTGGTGTTGGTGGTGGATGGGGCCCGCCGTGTTATCACTTTAATAATAATCACGAAACCCAAAAGGCTGTGGTGGCGCTCTGTGTTTTTCATGTGCAGGCAGTCTCTCCCTCTCTGAAATGTGTGGATGACCCGACGGCAACATATGCTCGTCCACCCACGTCGCACGTGCGTTGATGTCCTGTGCTGCTGCTTCACAGCAGAACCCGGAATAAGCCATATTGTGCACGTGTGTGTGTATGGTGTGGATGTGTCCTTGTGGGTCCAACGCGTGCGTATGTGCGTCTGTATGTATTTGCGTATGCGTGTGTCGATATGTATATGCGTATGTGTGTGTCCGTATGTATGTGTGCGTAGGTACGGGTTCCTGGCAGCACCACAGCAACGGTAAGGACCCAGTGTCGGTTGGGAGCTCTGAACGGCTAACTGCTGCTGTGGGGAGGGGTGTCGGGATTACATGTCGGAAGCGCGTGTCCTTCCCTCAAGAGTGTATGTATGTATGTATGTATGTATGTATGTATGTATGTATGTATGTATGTGTTTATGATGTGTGGGACAGGGGGACATATCTTCACCGGGGGCCGCTACCTGGCGAAACCCTGCCTTCCCCGGTATTTCGGCGCACCCACATCTAGTCACCCTAGTCAACTTCTCAGTGGATCGCTCAGGTTCCGCACCCACCACAAGCATCCAATAGAATCTGCCGGATCGACGGCGGCCCAAGTCCATTCCAGGTCGGCTCGCGAGATAACTTTATTTCAGGTTACCATCGTACATCGACCAGGGGCCTTTTACGATCCCGGGATCTTCCGGGGGCAATCGTCCGTGTCTTTCCAGTAGTGCCTGACCTATGTATTTATGTATGTATGTATATTTGTATGCTTGTTAAAGAAATGTATCACTTAAACATGAAGACGAAGGGTAGGGTAACACACGAGGTCATGCGCGGTGAAGGGATGTGGTGATGTGATGGGACTTTTACCTCCCTTACCGTTGTCGTGTGGCTCTGGAGTCCATGAAACTACGTTTTGGGCGGTTGCTGGTTTGAAGGGCCCAACTGGCGATGTGTGAACGGTGACGAGGCCTCACCGGCAGGTATATATGCGCGTTGAACAGTTCCAGGTTCACCAGTGGAGGCTTTTGGTGTTTTTTTGGTTCCCCCGTTATTGACCTGTGAGTGTATGTGCAGTGAGTTGTTAGGCCATTATTGTTTCGAGAGTAGAGCAAAAAAACAGCCCCTACGAGGTCAGTGTTTTGATGTATGGGTGCACTTGCGTGCCTTGCATGTAGTTCTGTATGCCGGTGCCGCCCGGGTAAGGAATGCACATGTACAGTGGTGTGGTGGTGTGGTACGTAGGTCGTGTCTGGGGTATGTGCTCCGAATAACCAAAGTCTAGGGAACCTCGTGTATGTATGTATGTGTGTGTATGTGCGATACAAAAGATACCGCAGGATTTTTTGTCTCTCTCATGAGTTCTATCATGACACATGGCCAACGTAATAAGGGTAACAAGCGCCTGGGGCGTTTCGCGATCCCCACGTTTCCTGGCTGGCTAGCAGGTGACTTGCTGGCTCTGATGGGCCGGCGATGGGGGAGTAACTGGGAACCGCAGCCGCACAACGGACATTGTTAAACGGCACAGGCTGAGTGGGGGAGTGGTGCGCATGTAGGTGTGTGCGTGTGTGTATGTATGTTTGTGTGCATCGGGGGTGAATAACTTCACCGGCGTGTGGCGGCCTGCCGCAGGTAAAGCATCCAGCAGATCACACACACCCCGGATCAACGGCGGCGCCAACTCCACCCCTGACCAGGCCACGCTGGTTATCATGATCTAGGTCCTTTACCGTCCATTGGCATGGGGGTGCATCCAACTTCATACGGTCAAGGAATCGAGTGTTTTTATCCCGATCTTTGCCGGGATTGATCCTGAAACCTCCCAGAGACACTATGCCGCGTCTTAACGTGCCGTGTAGGCAGGTAGGTAGGTAGGTAGGTACACCCTTAGCAGAGTGCATTCCTGTCCGGCTGGACTGATTGGACTGTGCGTGTTAAAGTTTAGCATGCTGGCACTGCGTGCTCTGGGTGTGTGTGCAAGGGCACCCAGGCCAGTGCTACCCGTAAAGACATCGCATGTGGGTGTTTCGCGCGTTCTTATTAGCTGGCAGTGCGCTGTGTTTGCTCCACATTGACTTTGCACCGCCTATGCACCGCCCCACCGACGTGAGATCCGCTTACTGGCTTCTTTTGCTCTCGGGTTCGTTCTCGGGTTCGTTCTTGGACTTGTCCACTGCTGCAAAGTGATCCAACATGGATTCTGGATCCATGGATTTAGGTTGCTGGGAGCATGTCCTGCTGCTGCCAGCAGGAATGCTGTGATGCATGCCAGCAGGCTCACCCCCCTCCTAACCCTTCTATCGAAGCTACAACTAGGAGGTGCAACTTCACGCACAACGGGGAAAACTAACAACTGCTGTTTGTGAGGCCTAGTAAACATGCAGTATTACCTATTAAGGTAATACTTGGTAATTAATAACAGCAAATGTAACTGTTATCTCAGTTATCAATCCCGTTTGTGTACCGTTAAGACTGGCGAACTGCTGCCGGGAGCTTTTAATTAGCTGCTTGAACATTGGCAAAGATGCATTTGTACAGAGGTCCACAGACACGTTGTGCGGATGAACGCGGGGAGGACTGCACCATGCGAATTTTGCAAGTGCGTGGACTTAGAACAACGCAGGAACTGTTGTCCTCACAAGGGAATGATCATGGCTGTAAGAGCCGCTTCCCTGATACAGGATCTGCCATATCTGGCTTCTCACTACCATCCCACACGATATGGGACACAGCAGTGACTCTTTATCTGCTGCACCTCTTGTCATGATCAATGGAGACCTATGATGCGCACTGCTGAGTACCCCAAGAAACAGGATGAGATGTGTCGCGAGTCGCTTCCAGGTTACACACACCCGCCCGTGTTAGCGTTCCGGGTGGATCTGATATGAATCCGCAACACGTGCTCACAGGCAGAGATACCCGCCGGTACCATGGGCAGTCAGAGCTTCTCCGCTTAACCCCGTTGCCTAGGGAGGGTGGGTAGGAAACGTGCGACACTCGTGAGCGTCAGTCCAACGTATGAACAATGAGCTCCAATCGAGGAGACCTGAGTTGAAATAAACAAAGTACCTAAGCTTAGAGCACAAGAGTACAGCATCTACTTGTACGAGCACAACGTTTCTCGGCCCTCCATCCACGCCATATACCACTTTTTTGGCTGAGATCAAAATATCATGATGAAAATTTAGTTAAATCCACAATGTACAGCAACCAGACTAACGACCAATGTTGCAAGGTCAGCGTTCGGGAGACGGCGAACGCAGCGACTAAAGCCATCTATCAATAAAACAGGTGTCTTCCTTGACCTTCATCTTAAAATGCGTCCGTGCGTTGGTCGATCGTGCATGTTAACTGCGTTCCGTTGGGTTCTTGGGTACAGCTTCTAATGAAGGTAAGGCACCGGCACCGACAGCAAAGGCGATTTCCCAAAGAGTTACCAGTCAATAACGGAGCATCTCTCGTAATATTTGGGGTTTTTCGTGGCTAGGTATAGAATTGCGCAAGTGCAAAATACCCATTCAGGTGCCACGAGACCGTCGGCATGCGCCTTGCAGCCTGCCAAAGGCTACAGGGCAGCATGAGATCTATGATATTATCTTTCATCTTTCCCCTTAGGCGCGGCGGTGCGTGCCTTGGGCTGAGGCCTTTCGCTTGTCGGAATGCTGTCCCGATGTCGTCATCACCCGGTCTGCACAGACCGTTATCTCCATCAATTCACCTGTATTCTTTTTAACTTCATTTCCTGCATAATGTTGTTGTTTTCACACGCTAGGTGGTCTTTTCATCTCTCGACATCGAAAACCTAGCAGTGGCCTCGCCTCATCCAAATTCCTGGCAGCTTCTCGAAGACCAGGTCTAACAAGGGTACCTAGAATGGATGCTGGAAACACTGAACGTGGTGGGCTCGGCTGGAGCGGAGTCAACGCAACTTCGGCGGGCTTCCAGATGGACGTTGACTCCCCAGCCATCACCACTACGACCTCAGCGGCTGGCCCTGCCCCACAACCATTCTGGCACCCATCGGATCCCATAGCCGCATCCCCCGGGAAATTGCGGCTGCCGCTTTCGGGTTATGTTGACCGCGTCGGGGGATGCCTGCTGGGCAAGATGTGTGGCGACGTGCTCGGTGCCGGGGTGGAGGGCTGGGCCCACCAGGACGTACAGCTCAGCAACCCGGAAGGCCTCACGGACTTCCTTCACACGGAGCGCGGGTGTGTGCTCTTACCCCGGCCGGCCTCGCCAGGGTTGGGATGGACTTTGGCCATCGACCTTTGGGTCAAGGAAAGGGGAAATTCAGGCGTGTATCAATGGGTGTCACAGCTGGGTCAAAAGAACGCGTCACCAAGCGAACTTACGGATAGATGAATGGCGCACAATTTCCCTTGGATGCTAAGTGTATAAGGGTTGGTGGCGTGGGGCGTTTGGTGATGGTGGGTATTGGGGTAAGGGATGTGCTGTGGCTCAGAAGGGGAGAGCAGCGGCTGGTATGGATGTGTTTGGTGGCTCAACAGGTTTATGCATCGTGGCACCGTTATGCGCGCAGCTTATCCACCCACACGGACTAACAAACCAGCCGGGGAAGGGAACCGAGAAGAACTGAAGCCACCCACGGAAATGGTGGCACATTTTTCGTTCCGTCTTTGAGGCCGAGAGGGTTCGCATTTACCAGCTATCGAGCTTTCGCCTTGACCTCCTTCGTCATCCGCTACCGATTTCTCCCCATTTGGGTCTTCTTCGAATGTGCCCGCACGTGACTTACCGCCCCTAACCCGCTTGGGCCTGGTTTTCCGTGTCTAGTTTTCCATGTGTATTTCCCCGTGTGTATTTCCCCGTGTGTATTTCCCTGTGTGTATTTCCCTATGTGTATTTTCCCGTGTGTGTATGACCCCGCCCAACTCCACTCGGGTCCGCTGGTTGGCTGGTATTGGACGTCGACGCCCGCTGGACTTGGCCTCTGGCACCTTCCACCTTCCACCGTATCTGCGGCAACGGCCTCTTGATACCACGGCTTGCTGTCTATGATGCACCACTGCAGCTTTGGTTGTTACACAGGTCTGTTGGGACTTGGGAAGCATGTTGCGGTCTCGAGCACTGAATAGCGCTGAATGTGTCAGGCAGCGGAGACCCCCCCTTGTCCGTACTTTGTCTGTCTGTATGTGAATTTGCACGTGTTCACGTATGTACTGTTGAGGAGACGGGTTTTTAACTTTCGATGCAAGAGCGCCTGTTTGACCGCCGACCCTTGGTGTCATGGCGGCTTTCCTTGACTGCTTAGTCGTGAGTTAAGTTATAAACAACTGACACTAACCGTCACTAACTGTTTTGGATGCTAGCTAGGTCACGCTTGCTGATCTGGGTTGCCAACCGACGAGTAATCCCGCACCGCGACCTACATGCTACACGGCTTCTTTGGATTGCGGTCCACAACCTTCCCCTCTGCTTACTCCCACCCTCGTCAGACGACACCCAGATGGCTATCGCCCTGGCTCGGAGTCTCGTTGCTTGCGGTGGCCGCGTGGACGACGTTCATGCCGCTCGATGCTACGTACAAGAGTACCAACAGTTCAGGGGTTACGGAGCAACGGCATACAAGGTACACATGGCGTACGGCAGGCGGCGTATTCCTAGGAGCGCGCATGAGCACATTTTTCTTAGTCTGGCGAGCTGCGTTCGTCAACCTGCCGGCTGTTGACGTAGGGCTTCACTCCTAGCCGAAAAGAACCTGAGGGCTGATTTGTTCCTTACGGCCAGCGGCCAGCGGCCACCCGACTTGTGGTTATCCACAGCACTCCATTCCACTTCCACTCCACCCCAAGCTCTGCCAAACCCCGAACCACTACGAGCTCCGCTACATCGCAGTGAAACCACAGGTACACCGATGGCTGCATGGATGTTAATCTTACCCTTGGGGTCTGGGTCCTTCCTCGCCTTGCGTGAGTGGAGGGCTGCTGTGTGAAGTGTGTTGTGCACGCACCCCGCTTGTTGCGGTCTTACGTGGCATGGTTTACATGGTCACATGAGTCCTCCCATGTGCGCACGTCCATCACCAGATTATGTCAACCATCCAGCGCTGCGGTATCGATTCCGAGTCCATTCGCACCATCGGCACCACGTACATCCCCGACGGCTCCTTCGGCAATGGCGGCGCCATGCGCATAGCCCCGCTGGGCCTCGTATACAGGTAGACAGAGGGAATCCGAGGCATAGCGGCGTAAAGGTGGGCATATGTCATGGCTCCATGCACGAGTGAACATGGCAGACATGTACCTAGCTGCTAATATGCCTTCCTAACTGTCTAACTGTCTGTCTGACTGTCTTGCTATCCACGGTCTACTTCAATGATTATTGCTCATTTATCTGTCTTGCTGTTTGCCTAAATGTCTATAATGTTTTCTTTGTTTTCGGGTTTCTGCATCTGCTCACCCGCAACCAGACACGCACCTCCAGAGGTCCTCCGAAAGGCCGTCGCCGCGGCTCTCCGCTGCACCCACGTGCACCCAGTGGCCGTGGACGGAGCTTTCGTCATCGCCCTAGGAATCGCATACCTGGTAGAGCGCGAGCCTCCGGCAGGCGCTGCGGCGGCGGACTACGCTCCGGCAGGCGCTGCGGCGGCGGACTACGCTCCGGCAGGCGCTGCGGCGGTGGCGGCCTCCGGCAGTGGCGATAGCGAGCCTCAGGTTACGTCGACCGAGGCGATGGCAGCAGCTGGCAATGTAGTTCACGATGCCAGAGATGGCGTGGTGCTGCCAAAAGCTGAGGCAGAGGAGTCCGTGGCGGCGGCATCGACGGCGCCGCCGAAGAAAGTGGCGACACCGTTGGGGTTGCTTGATTACCTTTTGTCGCACAGTTCACTGTTGGAGACGGAAGGCATGGTTCAGAAACTCAAAACGGTCCAGACGGCTCTGGTGCAGGTACGAGAGTCTTGAGCCTTTAGGAATGGTGGTTTCTTATGGAACAGGCCCACTTGCCCGAACGATCCGTGAGTCATAAGCCTAGGCCTGCTAAGCTAGCTGTGGAGGCCAACGTTAGGGGGCCTTGTGCGCAGACGGGTCGCGTAAGAGTGCCTTCTATTTTTTGTCAACTCCGTTGCCGTTTGACGTAGTAGCTTGGCGTGTCATATGGGTCGGCGTGTCATGCGGGACACCCTCTTCACGCACCTTCCGTCGCAGGCACCTCATCAGTTCAAGGGCCCCAACGAGACATGGTCGCAGTACTTTGCCTCACCCCGCTGGGCAGAGGAGCTGCGATTGCAGGCGGAGGTTTCGGAGCCATTCCAGATCCGTGCCGATGACGCCGCGGCGGCGGCGCTGTCGGCGCTTTGCTGCCACTGGGGACAGCCGGAGGATGCCGTGGTGGCTGCCGTACACTACGGCGGGGATACGGACACGGTGGCAGCCATAACAGGTGCGACAACCTTCCTGTGCTGTAACCTTGTAAACCGCGATTATGTCCCACACCTGGATGTGGCGTGAAGTAATAGTTCAAAT